GTGAAACGGTCTTCCACCATATCTCAGCATCACTAATAAAATTGTAAGTCGCCAATATGATCTTCAACTTGTCCGTTGCCAAATTCATGGCATTAATATGCTTCTCCACCCTATCCATGAAACTATTCACAACAAGCGGATCTGGATCGCTTTCAAACAGAGTTGGCATCAATTTCACAAACTTTGCAATGTGATAAAGAGTATCATCTAACTCATTTGTCTTTGGAGGTGGTGGTGGTGGCGGTGGTGCCGGTGGTGGCACAAATTGTGACGATGACACACCTACCGATTGAAATGCTTTGAAAAAAGCTGCCTAGACGGCCAACTGCAATTGTTCCTCATTTATCTGGAAAAGTGGATCAACGGTCCCCCTCGCTTGTCCCCCTCTTGGTGGGACCAAATCACGCAACAAGATATCTTCCTCAACTTGCTCCTGATCCCTTTCCACGGGATTAGAGCTAGAACTTTCCCTGGAATCCCCTCGTGGTGGCACGACGCTATAAGAAAAAGGAAATGGATCAATAACGATGACACTAAAATACGCACGAGAATGGAGTCCTCACACGAATGATTTGACAAGAATGGAAACACATAAACACCTTCCATACTCCCAGAATACCCAACTAATGATAAACATAATCATGCTAATAATATATAACAATATTAAGCACTTAGCACGTAATCATATAAGCAGATAAACAATTAAGCATGCCTTTCAAATAATTAAACACCTCAACACATAAGCATATAAGCATGCAATCACGTAAGCAATTAAGCAAGTAAACAAATAACTTGATTCCCCATGCAATCCTAGGTAGGCCTCTACTCGTCGTCTTAATGGTATTCGAACCATCGCTCTGATACCAAATTGTAACGACCCAACTAGATACCAAAACAGTAATAAAAATATAAAATTTCGGCATGACCTTCACAGAAAAAGTCCCTCTACAACCTGTTGAAATACAAACAAAAAAAAAAAAAAAAAATGCAATGGCCTCACTGGGCCTTAAAAAAATAACTTATCATATCCCAACGCACAATACAGATATTATATCACATTTCTAAAATGGCTACATACATACAAAAAATTCCCGTTCCTCCATCTCATCTAAATAAGGAATACACTTAAGTTACATCAAGTTACAGTCCGTAAAACGTAACTAGAATTTAAAAGTCTGTAACTTACAACATTGTACCAATTAAACTAAAGTTTCTCAAAATAATTAAGATTACATTTACAAAATATTAGAGTTCTAATACAAAAGATAACAAAATAAAATAGGTCTCCATGCTCGTCTAAAATTGTGGTGGATCGTCGTCCGCCACCTCTTTTCTGTGTCCTGAAAAATGTTTAAAATAATGGGGTGAGCATAAGCTCAGTAGGAAGTATCTAAGACACTCTTCTTATATCCCCGTGAATCCATACAATGAATAGATAAAAGTGAACGGGATCATGCCATAAGGAAACGCACATTCTCAACACAATAACAAGTATGTAACAAATATCAACCAATCACAAGTTTACCACAATGTCATGAAGTGCAATGTTATGCAAATGTCACTCCCCATTTTCCGAAACATTTCCGTTTCAACTTCCAAACCGTTAGTGTAATCCGACCCAAGGCACCTCCAAGGCGTCACGAATGGAGGGTTGACTAACTATCCACGACCATAAGGCACCTCCAAGGTGTCGCATCCGGCCTATTTAGCTCAACCATACTCCCTTCTAGACTACACTAACAACACGGACCGCTAGGCGCCTCTAGGCGTCTGGTTTTCGCAAATTTCTTTGAAAAAAAAATTTATTTTTCCCAAGAACAAATTCATTTATTTTAAAACATTTTTTCCCCTTTTTCTTTCCCAATGGATGCATGAATGTGTCATACTTCATTTCATCAATTCAACCATAAAGTTCCCGCATACTTTTTCAAATAAATTAATAAATTACCAAAAATACACAACTCATATTTTCATTCCACATTTTGCTAGCAATTTAAATATACAATTCACAAATTTATTTTTCCATAATTATAACATAAATTTTCATAGCAATTGATATCATGAAACAAACCAACTCTAAGCATGCTTCTTTACAAATTGAAAATCATCATACTAATAAGCTCAATTAACACATAACACACATTTATCACCATAAATATAAATAACACTAATAAACATAATCACAAAAATTAAAATTAAGCATGCTTCAAGTCAAATTAAAGGTGAAAATTCACCAGAAATCTAAGAAATAGTGGATTAGAGCACCCCTACCTCAAATTTGATTAAAACTCCCAATTTGAGCCCAAGAACTCTAAAATTTCGAAATCCCTAGAGTGCACTAAAACTGAAATTACTGGTACTCATACATAGACCTCGCCGTCCTCTTCAATTTGCCTTCAACGACACTCAAAAATTCCAAGAATGGAAGGAAGAATCAAATATTGAAGTTGTAAAAGAAAAAAGAAAAGAAGGTTCCACACAGAGAGAGAGAGAGAGAGAGAGATATCTGCCCAATGGTAATGGTAAGCCATTACCTTTGTTATAGTAGGAGGTGGGTCACACCACTTTATTTTTTTTTCTTTTATAATTATTTTTTAATAACATAAATAAATAAATATATATATATATATAAAGCGAAACGTTACAATAGTTTAGATAGTTCATGTTTTCCGGTGCCGTCAAATTCCAGCAACACATCCAAGAAGTCCCTCCTCCTTCACAAACCCGGAAGCTATTTTCAACGCATTTTCAAGGTCTCTGTCCATCTTCCTCCTCAAACCCTGCAGGTCAAGCCATTGAAGCCATGGAAAAACATCCGAGATGTTTGGATGATCACTCCACTCCATTAGTCCAGTCATAGACGAAAAAACCTCTGATCCTAGTTTGGATTATGGATCTACCAAGTCACGCGACAGCATGAGGTTTCCTAGCATGTTAAAAGATACCAGAAACACAAACCGTGCCACGTGAACTCCACGCGCCGCCGCCACTACATGAGCCTCTTTTTCTATCCAAAACAACATGTTGTCGACACACTTTCTCCTTACGGACACCATTTTATTGATCCTTTTGCCAACCAACATTTACACCGTGCATATCCGCCTCAACACGCGCCAATATGTGCCATTTATATGGAGCCAAAGCCAAGGATGCCCTGTCGTAGTCACGTGCCTGCATGGTGCACCTGATGGTACGATCAGCGAAGGAGAGGTCATGGCTCTTGAACAACTCCTCAGCGGCCTTAGCCGTGAGGACCACCATGGTGTTTCTGGAACCTAGCTTTAGCCAAATCACATGCACATATTGTTGTCTGAGCCCTGCTAGGATATTATGTGGCATGGCTCCAAGACTGAACAGGTGACCGACCACCGGTCATCTTGGTGGTCCTGGAGGTAGCCGGTTGGAAGCCGACTTACGGTGGTGGTAAAGGAGGAGGAGGGAGAGGGGGAGCAAGGTTGGTGAAAGGACGATAATGGACCAAACAATTAGGAAGCTCCAAGTCCACTCCATGAATATATTTTGCGCCTTTCTGTTGGTATATGTCTGTCTCTGTGTAGCGTGTACTATGGAGTAATAATATTATATCAACTTTAGTCAAATGTTCACAATTTAAAAGCACTAATGGTTGATATGTGTTATGAATACATTATTATGTTTTCAATATATGCTTACATAATAAAGACCACAATATGTGCGCATACCGACCGGCATTAAAATGCAGCAGATGGGACGGCAGGATTGAAATGAAACTTGTGTCATCGTGCAACAATTTACCCACTTCCAAGGTTGACATTAATATATTTTAATTGATTTTGAGAGTCATTAGTTTTGTAATCAATGGAAACAATAAAAAATATATATGTGGTTTTTTAATTTTTAGTTTAGAAAGGAATCTTATCAATTTCTAACCGCGATGCTCGGAATAAAGTTGGATTGTCTCTTATGATATTGTGTGACATTGCAAGAGTGGCATTTTAAAACTAGATATTAATGATCTTTTAACGCAGTAGTAGATGTCACAATTGTCCTATTGATCTAGAATCAAAATGGATTTCAACTCACCAAATGAGCAATTGCCTGAACAAGTCTTCCTCTCCAAAAGGGAAGGTCAGATATCCAAGCCTCAATGAATCGATTAACAGCATCCGAATCCCTTCACCGTCATGTAATAATACAGGCTGCAGAAGCTTAATCAATGCCTTCCCTGGCTGAAATTCACCTTAGCCTCAATAGAGAGTCATCCTGCAACTGAGTTGAAGTAACCTCCATCACTTGAGAATATTAAGTTGGCACATTATCACAGGTTCAAAGGCCATGAACATCTACATTAGAAAGCTGATCGAAGCGCAAACGTTAGCCAATTCTTCATGTCAGTACCAACTTGTTCTCCCCAAAGTTCGAAAAAACCAATATTTTTTTTCTTTTATTGGACCCCATAATATTTATAATAAAAATTTAAAATCTCATTCCACCTTTTTTTAAAGAGAGTTGTTCTCAACTGTGAGACCAGAAAGAGTAATAGAAGGAAGATGTGCTTTAACTAACCAACCACAATACTATGTGTATGAACCAGCTAAACCAATTTGTATTTTAATTGTCTTTTAGTATTTCTTGATTAACCTAGAACTAATTAAAGAGGTTAATTAGTATTTGAATTATTTTAACAAATTTGTGTTAGCGGGAGCCGGTCCTTTTTATTATTATTATTATCATAGCATATTTATGAAACTTTTACTAAATACAAAATAAATGAAAACTTACTAATAAAACGAAAAAGGCTGGAAGATGCTCCCCCCTGAAGTAGGTTCACACACGAGCAGATTTATGCAAGTCATATCCCACCCAATGCCAGGATGAGTAATTACTTGTCCGCAAATTCATGGAATTTTTTTGAGTTTGTGTCCGGTTGTATCATGGATGGAATTAGAGATTTGAAATTGAAGATTTGTGAAATTGAAAAAAAAATAACTCACAAAATTAGACGAAAATTTTCTCTAATTTTACAAATTCCAATTCCATACAACCGAATTCTACAAATGCTTCCCAGCCTGCAATTGCTTCCCCCACCTCTCTTGGGAATTCATTCATACACTTGGCAGGCATCCCCCAGATGGTAAGTCATCCTATGATTGGTTGTCCTCAAGTTACCCACCCTCAACCACAAATCCATGGCCTACATACATATACCTAACCACTGCTCTCTGTGCCTCTCGTCCAAGGAATTTCTGAACCTATCTTTTTTTCTCGTGTTCATTCACATCTCCGATGTGGTCTCATATTCAAAATACTTGCAGATTCTACACTCGATCATCATGGAATGATTTCATCTTCTGGGCTTCACATCAGTGGTTCTCAAAGAATATCGCGAACGCCATCAACAAGCAGGCACTCCTAGCATCCGTCTATGAAATTTGGATAGAAAGGAATTCAAGAGTCTTCAAAGTATCTCCAACTCACAAAATTCAGTATTTGTAATTAAATTGCCTAATGTCTTAATAATATAGTAGAATATGCTTACAAATGTATCAAAATAGGAAGACATCAAACAAAGCATTTTTACATACAAGCATACACGTATGCATTTAAGCAAATAAATCCAACAAAAATAGATAGAGAAAAAGTATAATGCACTCGAAGAGCAGAGACAAAAAGGCTTGCATCAAGTGTCTAATGCGCAAGAGTCTTCCAAGCAAACTAAAACCTCTTCATGATCGCTAATTTCTTCACAAGTAACGATATTAATGTCAAAGAGTTCAAAGGAAATGAGGAACAAAAGAATCTCCATATTATTTTTAGTTTAGTGTATACCAGTGATATGAAATCTTCCATGTCTTTTTCATTTCCTTCAAGCTCTTCGGATTTAAAATCATTATAGTTTCTTTATTCAACCTTACCCTTTCTTGGTACTGCTTTTAGTGGTTCCAGTTTCCGCACAGTCACTCCCAACCTGTCCTTCATGTCCATGGTCTCAGGAGTGACATGACCATCAAGCTCCCAATCGAATTCATGAAGTAAAGAGCCCAAAACAAGGTGCAACATGCGATGAGCTAACGGAACACCTGCACACATCCTTCGCCCAGAACCAAACGGTATAAACTCATGGTGTTGCCCCTTGTACTCAACTTTTGAGCCCAAGAATCTCTCAGGCTTGAATGAGAAAGGGTCATCCCAACATTCCTCATCTCTTCCAATGGCCCAAACATTCACAAACACTTGTGTGTTTTTGGGTATGTGATACCCCATGAAGTCAGTGTCCTCAATCGCCTTTCGAGGGACTAGAAATGGAATCGGAGGGTGTAAACGCAGTGTTTCCTTCACCACAGCTTGCAAATATGGCAGGTTCTCAATATCACTCTCTTCGAATTTCCTGTTTGGTCCAACAACCTTAGCAAGCTCATCTTTAACCTTGCTCATTGATTTGGGATTGCATAGAAGCTCCGTCATTGCCCATTCTGTGGTGCTGCTAGTCGTTTCTGAGCCGGCCAAAAATATTTCCTGCACCACTTCTTCGGTTAGTGATGTTTATTCTGTACAGAGCATAAGCATTTCGGTATTGAAATTTAATTATATGACAAGGATTAGCCATTAATTTGAGTATTGATATTCAACTATGTAAATGTCTAGGACTGTCAATTTGTGAAATGTGTGTGAGTACACATAATCAAAAATAAAAAAATTACCAATATGAATGTGTTGATTTGGTGATCCGATAGTTTAGATAGTTCATCTTTTCCACTGCCGTCAAATTCCAGCAACACATCCAAGAAGTCCTTCTTCCTTTCTGTGCCCTCCTGCCTTTCTTTCATGCGCTCCTTCACAAACCCGGAAGCTATTTTCAGTGCATTTCCGAGGTCTCTGTCCATCTTCCTTCTCAAACCCTGCAGGTCTAGGCATCTAAGCCATGGAAACAAGTCCGAGATGTTTGGATGACCGCTCCACTGCATTAGGGTGGTAATGACCGAAAGGAACTCTGATCCTACTTTGGATTGCGGATCCACCAAATCACGCGACAACATGAGGTTCCCAAGCAGGTTAAACGATGTCAGGAACACAAAGCGTGCCACATGAACCCCACCACGCGCTTCCGCCACTACATGAGCCTCCTTTTCTATCCACAACAGCATGTCATCGACACATTTTCGCCGGATGGACACCGTTTCATTGATCCTTTTGCTAACCAACATTTCCACCGTGCATAGCCGCTTCAACACCCGCCAATAAGTGCCGTATGGAGCCAGAGCCAATGATGCCTTGTCGTAGCCATGTGACTGCATGGTGCACTTGGTGGTACGATCAACGAAGGAGAGATCATGGCTCTTGAACAACTCCGTGGCGGCCTTAGCCGATAGGACCACCATGGTGTTTATGGAACCTAGATTTAGCCAAATAACATGGCCATATTGTTTTTTGAGCCCTGCAAGGGTTCTGTGTGGCATGGCTCCAAGACTGAACAGGTGACCGAAAACTGGCCATCCTGGTGGTCCTGGAGGAAGCCGATTGGAGGAGGACTTATGCCGGTGGAGGAGAAGGAGTAGGAGCAATGTTGGTGAAAAGATGATAAGGGACCAAACAGGGAAGCTCCAAGTCCAGTCCATGATTTTTGCTCTTCTTGCTTCTTTGTGCCCCCTTTTGTAGTAAACATGAGCGCCTGTTCTGTAATATGAAGTAATATTATATCAAGTTTTGTCACATTTAAAAGCACTGATTAGTGTTTTTAAACAAAGATTGATATGTATTATGGGTACATTATGTTTTCCAAGATGATATGCGTGCCTTAATTTTCTAAGCTTGTGTTGCGCCTGACGAGTTTAGTAAATGAGAAACCGACCGTATAAAACTGCACCTGATGGGTTACAGGAGGACTGAAATGAGGCTTATGTCATCTTGTAACAACATTGTATGAATAACAACTCACCTAGTTCAAACGTTGAAAATAATATATATTTTTTTATTACGGTAATCTAATCAATGAAAACAATATAATTGATTTTTAAAATAAGAATTTAATATATATATTTTTTAGTTTAGAAAGGAATCTTATCAATATGCATCGGCAATGCTCGGAATAGAGTTGGATTGTCTCTTGTGATGCGCATAGTGACATTTTTAAACCAGACACTAATGACCTTTTAACGCCATGGCAAAATATTTGTCATATTGATGTAGAATCAAAACGGATTTCAACTCGAATGGATTCCCTCTTAAAATATTGATGCCTGCAAGTTAGAACTACTTATTTATTATTTTTAGTTACTGAACATTGATTTTTTTCATTAGAAAATCAAAAAAAAATTAATTAAAAAAAAATAAAAACCGAAGAATAAATGAATTTATATAAAATATTTGATACTTAGAGGTACTAACAATATAGTTTACCTGTTATCAAAGGAAATAGTGAGTACCGATTGACTGAGAGTACCGTATAGTCGGCACTCCCGAGTCGAAGAAGAACACCCTAATCGGACCCTGTGCAGAGGAAGAGCAGATCAAGCTAACTATCTTCGGGTCAAAGCCAAGCAATCTGAGCACAACCGAGGCCAAGTTCAGTGCAGTTTAGGACCCGGTCACAGCAGTTTGTCAATAACGCTGAATGACCATGAAGTTAATGAAAGTGCTTATGAAAGATGATTTACAATTCCAGTAAAAAGCTCTGCTTCTCTGATATGTTCCTTGTATATGTATTTTGTGATCATATCACAAAAAAAAAAAAAAAAAAAAAAAAAAAAAAAAAAAAAAAAAAAAAAAAAACGAAGTTAGGGTGGATAAACTAACTATGCTCTTCGTATGCAATAGCAAGTCAACTACAATTGTTAATACCTATACTAGGAACCTTTTATACAGCGTTATAAGTCTTATATCAACAAATCCCGACAGCCAAGGATACAACACTGAGTGGTTCATTAATAAACTTACAAATGTCCAAGAAATGGTAAAACTATTTCAATGCTGAGAAAGCTGCTACAGAGTCTACAAGTACATCAACAACTATATAGTGCCAAAACAATTTACAATGTAGAAAACACAAAATAAACAAAATAAGAAATATATATATATATATATATATCACTGCAGGATGGGTAAAGCAGACCATCAATCAAGCAGTTACCTCCGTAAACAATCAGTTAACAGCATCCATATATAACGAAATCCCTCCCACCTTCTCATGTAGTAATACAGGTAGCAGAGTCTTAATCAATGTATTCCCTTGCTGAAATTCACCTTTGCAGCTTAGCCTCAATAGAGTTATCCAGCAACTGAGTTCAAGTGCCATCCATCACTTTGGAATATTAAGTTGGCACATCATCGGAGGTTCTAATGCCATGAACGTCTAAATCAGAAAGTTGAAGCACAAACATTAGCTGACTCTTCCTGTCTGATCAATGAGTGTACCAACTTGTTCTCCACATAGTGCTCTTGATATGTTCCCAGGCTCATGAAGATTAAAAACAACAACTGCAAGAAGAAAAATAACTCAATTTGTATGACACGTAATTTTATAACACTGTGCAAATAATACCAAAGCATAAATCTGTATCCGTCCAGCCATCCCAACACCCTCGATTTAAAATGACTACACTCTGTAACAACTATTGGCTGCTCCAGTATATTTGTTTACCCAAAAAAAAAAAAAAAACTCGACACATCAGCATTAAAATCTCTTCCATCCATGACGTGAGAGAGGAGAGACAGAGTCCCTTCCACCTTTTCACCACAAATATTCTCACTGTCAGGAAAAAATTAAACTACCTTCAGCATGCCTTGATGCAATATGCTGTTTTGAATACTCAAACGGACCAGGGATGCCGATGCTGGAAACAGGAAAAACTATGCTGAAAACCAAAAAGTAGAACAAAATATACTAACCAGGAATTCCATTCTCCTCACAGAATGTGACTGCCATCATGTCCATCAGGGAAGAACCTCTTGAAGCCAACTCCCTGAAGGATATGTGCTCAGCTATAACATTGTTGTTTCTGGAGTCACAAAGATAGACACCATCTACATTGGTACCCTTGAGGACCGCATCAGCATGAACTGAAGGGAAAAAAAAAGGTGACATTGCTTCCAAGAAAAATAAAATAAAAAAAGAACAGGATGTTTGTAATCATTAATTACTCAGAAAGGCGGTGGAAATTCACTGAAGGGAGTAAATCCATACTCTCTGAAGCTCTAAGAGCTGCTGCTGTATCAGTAGAGAAGAGTGGATTTCCAGTACCAGCACCAATACCACCAAATATCACAACCCTCCCCTTTTCAAGATGCCGGATTGCCCGTTGCCTACTGTATGGTTCAGCAACCTCCTGCATAGCAAATGCAGTTTGCACACGTGTCTGAACACCCATCTTCTCTAAAGCTGACTGGAGCAGTATGGAATTCATCACAGTTGCCATCATACTGGTAACAAAGGCAAAGTTGCTGCTTAATTAGTTCATAACTAAACACAACAAGAATCATATAAACTTAACAGCTGGTCTGAAGGTATCATTAACCAAAGTATAAGGAAAAAAATGTCATGGGTTAATATCATAACCAAAGTATAAGGAAAAATATGCCATGGGTTAACCTAATACAAAGTAAGATACAAAAATCATATCAAGATAATCACTATTCCCACTATGGTGGCGACCTAATATCTGATATTTGGTGAGTACGGAGAATAAATGAACAAATAAACTCCAGTCAGTCTACTTGGTACTCATTCTCAACCTGACATTAATAGGAGGCATGTACTTCAGCATCCACAAGAAGATTATTCCACCCAGCATAATCAAATAAGAGAAATGAAGATATTACGCTTCTGGACCATATGCAAGATTCTCCCATGTCCAGTGGTCCCACACTCCATGATCAAATAACACTACCAAACTTTTTCCTTTTCCATTTTGTTTCTGTGAATGCATTTCAGCGTTACGCACAAATAGTCATCGTTGTCATCATTCTCATCTTTAGAACATATGAACCTAGGAGCGCACAAAGATTGGATTGGTTCAGTTTAGGCATAAAACCAAAACCAATCCAATCCCAGCAGTTTCACAAAATTGAAACCAATCCGAACCGATGAGAAACATCGGATTGGACCAGAATGGTTTTATAAATTGGGTTTTTTAGCCCAATGTGTGAGATTGGGATGAAATAATCCAGACATTGTGGCAACTGCAAGTTTTAACTACATGATAAAGATCATGTGGATTATACTTCTGATATATCTTAACATCATCTACAATTGATTTTTGAGGCCTCCCACAGTTGGAGGAACAGAAAACCAGCTTAAAAACAAGCTACTACACAAAATTCCCAAGTGAACTTCGATTCATGAATTATATATATAATATATAAATATAAGTATAAGGGGGTGGGGTTAGGTTTAGGGTTAAAAAAAGTTATATAAATATACAATATCTTTGTATATATTATATAAGTAACAGGTTGGATTCACGGAACGGGTTGGTTTTTTTAGACCCAAATCTGTGAACTGGACCCCTGCGGATTACTTATTTATGAAACCGCAATCAAAACGATGGACTAAAAAACCAAAACAAACCGCACAGATCGGATTCACAGATCAAATGAAAACCCTTAATATGAAAGGGCTCGGCCGCATGAATTATCATTTATCATTATTTCCAATTAAAAGTCATGTCTCCTATCATATTTAATTTTCAAAAATGTTCTGCAAGTACTTCATTCCATGTTAGTTTTGGTCTGTCTCTTTAGGACTTAACTTCTACACAACTGATTTTCCTTTCTTTAACAGTACATTTATGGGTCTACGATGTATATGTCTAACCCACCCAAATCTATTTTCTCGTATTTTATCACTAATAAGTGTCACTTCTAATTTTTTTCTCACCCGATAATTATTAATCCTATCTCTTCTAGTCACTCCAATAATCCGTCTCAGCATTCTCAATTCAGCTACATGAATGCCTTGTTCATATTTCTTTTTTAATGTTTAGCATTTTGCTTCATTTAAAATACCTGGCTTAAATGTCTTTTTCCCCCTTGTTTCTCTTTTCCTACACCAGCATGGTTAGGGAAGTCAAATACAGTAGAAATAGGCCTTTAAATGTGCCAGTGACAATAACGGTCTGCCCCTCAATTCTCTTCGTCTGCCACTCTCATTAATAAATTTTCCACCCCGCCCCACGAATTTTGAAGGAGGCGAAACAGATCCATTATTTCAAGTGAATACTCTCTCTCAAGCACTATTATTTTCAACAAACCCAGATCTTGTGCATCCTGGTTATGCTCTTGCTTCACTCCTCGTATATCCTCTTCCCATGTAGGTGCCGCCTCATTAGGACTGTGACAGTTACAAATTAATAAAAGAATTTTATTAAATATAGAATAATATTTCGAAACACTTGGATTTCTGTGCCCCTTCCAAAAGTTTATTTCAGTTCTGCAAGTAACAGGAGCAATAAAAGAAGCAATGGTGAAGTCCAAAATATTTCAACGAATATAAAAAAAGAACACATGCTGGAAACAATATCATACAAAATTAGTACATCACAGAGAAATAGCAAATGAACCAAACTTCACAACATAAATTGTTGTATCAATTACGAAGAGCATGCTTCACATGAACCAAAAGGAAGGCTGTGTTGCTAATAATAACCACATTACCCAATTTGATATGCAGTACATCTATCTAAACCAGTTGATGTAACCCATGTGTCCCCACAAAAGAAATTACGGCCTCCAACAACAATTGCCACCTAAGATATCAAATAAGAGTAAGCAAGCTGCATGCAAAATGTATAAGACAGCAGAAAACCCAGGTTGCAATAACGCATTTGAATATAAATTAATACCTCAACACCAAGGCGGCAAGCGATTGAAACTTCTCTTGCGATCAGCATTGCCACCTATCAGATTTAAAGAACAAAAATCAAGTTACAGTCTCCAGTTCAGAAGCCAAGACAAGACAATTTGCTTCCTAAATTTGACAACAGTCATGATTGAGCCATCCAAATCTGTACTAATATAATGGAGCCAACAAAACCTTTGGGTCAATATTGTGATGACCAGTGCCAGCCAGAGCAGCACCACTAATTTTGAAAACCACTCTCCGCCATCTAGGATTTGTTGTTGATTTCAACTTCATGTTATTAATTGGACTATCAGGGCTGGGATTTGTAATTCCATATCTGCTCAAATAAATATCGGATATCTGATCAGACAATTACCAAAATCATCTACATCAAGTGAGTAATTACTAAACACATCTACAACAGATTAAAATTATCTAAACATGTGAAACATGGAATTGAACTCTATCAATCAACTGAAGCTGAAATGACAAATTAAAATTATGAAAAATGTATATCCCCCAAATTCCTGATCAGTTCAGATGCATGATAATGACTTTCATCGACTTTTCATGCTGATGGCAATGTAAATTAAATCGAATTTCCCACCATTAAGGCATGCACTGTTAAAATGGTAAAATACTTAGGTGCGTGAAATGTGACAAGCAATAAGCTAACAACATTGTCAAACTACTATTAAAACTCAGGCATCCCAGATTTCCTTGAAGAGCAAGATGACAAAATACATATTATAGATTAAAAACTAAATTCTTTCTAAGTCTCTTCTAAACTTGTTGGCCATATAAAGGCAAAACAATGCTAAGCATTAATAATAAAGAACGGTTCTTTATCTCGAAACGGATCTGGCATCCACACCATTAGCATTAGGTGTATAATGAGTTAACTTTTTATACCATTTTACATGGCAGCAACTCTAGAGTCTAGATCACAACACGTGATGTTAACATAAATCCAGTTGCGGACAATAATGTATAATCATGAGTTCACAACTCATGATGCTAATTGTCTACAAAGTTTATATAAATCCAGTTTCAAAAGGGAAATAATTATGCACTTGATTACAGGTGCATAATACAGAGTTGCTGCTCATGATTTATGAGTTATGATCTAGAGGTGCTACATGAATAATTTTCCGAAATCGCTGTTGTCCCATATCTGTCCTAAAATTATTTCCCTTTTGAAACCTGAATTATATCAACTTTTTATACCATTTTACAGCTACACTTCAAAACCTTGCCACATGACATCAACTACAAAAGCAGCCATGAAACAGTACTCTCAATTTAACAATACAATATATGACATGAGACACATCCCAGAACTATAAAGAACATAAAAAGAAAGAGAAAAAAAATTATAAAAAAAAATGATCACTATGAATATATTGCATATCTGCTCAAACATACCTATTTTACCTACTTCCAGGCCTTAGACAGCTGCATGACATACAATTAAGCCTAGATATCTACAAATTAAATGCTTACAAAAGGATCTCTGCACATGAGCAGCAACTCTAGATCACAACTCATAGCTCACTATCCACAACTTGATTCACTTGAGGTTTAAAATAGGGTGAATGGCAATTATTTCTTTTTAAAATTTCATTCGATTTAACAAAAGTCAAAAGTCAAAAGTCAGCCTTTAGGTGCAAAATTTACTTTTTTTTCTCGTTGGGTAACGGAGGGTGTCCCCACTCCCTTTGGGGGGGAGACTAATCCAGTATTCCCTTTGGAGGTCCGCATTATCACCCTCAAAATTTCCAATATTTCAAAGAAGAAAATTACAAATTGCTTGACATCATTGTCCCCTAAAGGTTAAAAATCAATTCATACTTGAAGAAGTAAATAATCCTAAAAACACATTATATAATGAGAGCAAAGTATCAACATAGTTCTATATAAGAAAACGTAAGAACAAAATGTAGGGGATATGATATTGGCACTCAACTTTTATACACTTGCAATCCATTTGATTTTTTTCAATAAATGAAATGACAAAAGTAGCCCTAGAAAATGTGTAAGAGTACTTATTCGGAAAGTTGTAGAGTGCAAGAGTACTTTTTAAGGACAGCTATGTCATTTACATTTTCAAAGAAAAATTAAGTCGAATGCAAGTGTACAAAAGTGGAGTGTGAATATTATTTTTCTAAATTTAAACTGTTACTTGCACATGAAAGTAAAAGCAATTTATGCCTGGAAATTAACACAGTGTTGCTAGCATATGAAAAAATATAACTAATTAGTGACCTTAAATTAATAAAAGGAAATTATCACATCCTACACAAACGATAAAATATGAGGTGAAGGTTCAAAAATCATCTAAACTCTAAATATTGTCCTTATTGTGTCATAACCATCGCCATCAAAGAAGTAACAGTAACTAAAGTTACATAATATAAATTTTTTAAAGTTCTACCTAGGCTTAAATCTTATTTCTTAAATTTTTTAAAGTTCTACCGAGGCTTAAATCGTATTTCTTTGTCATAACGGGTATTTATTAATGAATCAAAACAGAACAATTTTCATTAATTAGAAAAAACAGGACAACACAATGGTTAAGTCAAAAAAAGTTGTGCCACCAGACATAACCAAGCTAGATCAGCCTAAGGATATAACTACTTTTGATGTGTGGACAGAGCCCAGTCGTAATAGCCCGAAAATTTACGAATAGAAATCAAATTGAACTTTAATATGCAAGAACAGGTGGCAGCAAAGGCTCAATTCCAACCAAAAAAAAAAAGGCTGGTAGAACTCCAAACAACATATATGGAAGCAACTAGGCTGATGATAATGATGATATCACTAACAACCGATTGTTCCCATATTTATAATATCTTGCAGACTCGCCAATATATGGCAAGGGGGCACTTTACACAACAAAAATAACAAGCAGTCCACAATCTCCACAACTAACGGAACTATCAATGTGCAATTAGGTAGGTCTATCAGCATGCCATTCCAACATATGAAGACGCAAAAAAAATTACATATTCAGAATCACTCAGAATATCTCCAGCTCACGCGCATGGAGTCACCTAGAAGCAAGGCCAGCAACACTGCAATAGATAATTGTGTGCCACAAACACGAATGACTGCCTGGACACTTTTAAGACACAAACACGAATGACTGCCTGGACACTTTTAAGAACTCACCGAAGGTGATTTAAACTTAATTCTTTAATCTTCTTCATTCTCTAATTAGATTATTTGGTAATATTTATCTCTTAATTATCCTAAGCAAATGTCTTTAATTTTATCTCTTGTTTTAGGTCTGCCTGTATGAGGCCTTTATCTAATAGGAAGAATGATCACGTGCTCGAGAATCTAAAAAAATAACTGTCTTTTCTCTAATTCTATTTCTTCTCTGTCTCTTTATTTCCTCACTTCTCTTCTTCTATTTATCCTTCTCTCCTCTCCTTCTTTCTTTCTTTCCCCTCCTACATCATGTATTGACTTGTATCGCACCAATTGCATGGTGTTAGGGTAAGGCTGGATTTGTTATTATACATACCCTTATTAGATTTGAAATTTTAAATGAGATTATGTTCACCCTTTGTTGTTGCTATTTGGTTACAGACAATATAAATATGTGTGTGTGTGTCTGTCTGTGCGTGCGTGTGTGGGAAACAATATAAATATATATATGCGTGTGTGTGGGGGGGGGGAGGGAGAATTATCGCCACACGTGATAAGTCCAACATGACTTTTTTATTTAACAAGGCTAATGATGTATTTTACACTATTCCACTTCCCAAGGAAAACTACAAAACTCATTTGATAGCTTTACTCTTTATTTGCCACGTCAATCGTCACTGAATTTCGTCAATCAAAGATTCCCGTGACCATGCTTGAGCATGGGCCACATAAGAAAATGTCCAGAGTTGGGAAGCTAATTCAAAGGCGTTGAATAACGTAAATTTAGAAGACTCAATGCAAGTGATTTTGTATTTCAATCCAAAAAAAAAACTTCTAAATCAAATATGGCCTTATTTTTCGCCCAAACGACTATTGCATACTGTTTTTTAGATTTATTAAGGATTGTTAGGGACTTCAATACAAAGTTCTTTGATTATATGTTTTGAGAATGTGAATTAGTGGAACGGTTGGAGTAGGATTAAACACCCTGGGAATTTCACAATGGACCTGGTCACTGTGAAGCCCTCGCTGCTGTAAACCAAAGGTTTGTAATTTATGGTTGCTGAAGTCCATGGAGAATGTGGTTATATAATCCATTAAAGCCATGAGAATATACAAAGGGAGGTTGCCAGAATATACAGTCGGAATTCATGGAGGTTGCCAGAATATACAATCAAAATTCATGGAGGTTGCCATAATCTAGTGGTGCTGGACCGCCAATTACAACAAGATAAATTACTGAATTGGTTTTCTAATTTAGTAAGGGGAAAGTAGTGTAATGTAGAAGGACATAATTAGCCTTATTAGTGATGATTTTTAGACTCAGATGTGTGGGTACATGCTAATCCTCCCCATGTGTGGGGGAGATGTTTTTGACTTATCATTTCTTTGCCCTTAGATATTACCTCTAACTATGTACACACAAATTTAATTTGAAAAAAATGGACTATAAAACTCCATGACACTTGTTTGTGCAGTTATCTTCCAATGACCAAGCAAACAGTAAACAAAGATCAGCAGAGAAGTATTTTAGTCACATATTTCAAAAGGCAGCATTGTTCTGCATCCCCTATTAAGGGCTTCACTTACTTATCCTTCAGCATCATCATATTAAGTTGGCTTAATTTAAATGTTAGTGGCTAAAAGCTTCATCGTCTTCCATTTTCCAGTCCATATTTAGACATTTACAAAAAAACTAAAGGAAAGAAACAACAAAGCAAAACAATCAAATCCGGATGACCAGCATCAAAAATAAGTTTAAAAAACCACAAAGTTATCTCAAGTTATATTGACGAATACTTTCAATTGGAATCATGAAAAACTTGTATGAAAAGCTTGCTTCACAAAACTAAGTTCCGATAGTAAAAACATTTCATTTTCATCGAAATGCAGCATACAATGAACTTTGAGAACTTCTGGACACTGAAAACATTACCACGTAAAAAGTACCAAGAAACTTTAGCAGCATATAAGAAGTGATAGCTAGAAATCAACAATCCATATAACATGACACGCAAAAGATAATGAAAATTGGATCATTCTAAATAAATTGAAATTGATTATCCATCCATTGACAATTTGCATACCTCTTTGATTGTCTAAGGGAGTTGGCCGACCCACCGGCAGATTTATCGTCCTCCACTGCAGCCTTCAATGGCAAGGAATTACCCACAATCTGCTCCATCTGCTTGAACCAAGGCCAATGACTTGCCGAGACACCGCCATTATTCAACCTATGTCTCTCCAACTTATACCTCTTCTTCAAATTATCCACCTTGTTCTTACACTGCTCCACACTCTTCGATTGCTTCTCGCATCGCTCGCTCACTGTAGCCGCCACTTCCTCCCAATCCCTCCCTCGCAAATTCCCCTTATTCAGCTGCATAAATTTATCGGTGTACGCTTCCAGGAGGCACGCGATTGCCGTGTCGCTCCACTCCTCCCTATCCTTCCTGTACTCTCCGCCACCGCTTCCGGAGGTTGCTCCGCCGGAGGCCGAGGCGGAGGCGAGTCTTGTCTTCTTGTAAAAATAAGGTGTTCCGCCGTCGCTGAGCTCTTCTCGGTCCTTTCGCTTTTCGCTCGATGCATTAACCCTAGATCTGCTCGGATTGGCTCCATCGTCGAATGGATTGGACGCATTAACCCTAGATCTACTCGGATCGGCTTCGTCGTCATCAAACGAGGACGGAAACTTCGGATCCGTCTGTGAACCGAACGCGCCGTCGCTGTATTGTTCGGCGTCGACGTCTTCTTCATCTCCACCGGATATCTTTACGGGACTCCCGCCAGCGGAAGCGGCGGCAGGAGGTAGGATTGGCTGTGTTGACGGCGGCTGGGATGGTACCGGAGGCGGTGGGGCGTGGATCGGAGCCGCCTTCGTCGGAAACCGCTGTGTGTAGGCTTGGTTGGGATGGTGGTGGTGGTGGTGGTGGGAGGTGGCGGAGTGGTGATTTTGGTGGTGGTGGCGATGAGGATGGAGGTTAGCGTTTGATTGGTTGGGGTCGACGCCGAGGAGAGAGAAGTCGTCGTCACACGACGCCATTGGAGGACGTTAGGGTTTGGGTTTGTTCGGGGAACGTCAAACAGACGACGTTAGGTCGGAAACGAAGGATCGTTGAGAGGGCAGCGTTAAACGGTTAACGGTGCGAGTGTGCCGTGACTTGGTGTGCGTTGTACCGTCACGGCTTGCCAAGGCCCCGTTAAGTAATGAACATAGTTACTGTGGGAAAATACGTGGCTACGTAGTTTTTTTTTTTTTTTTCCTCCAGGAAACGCACCTCTCACACCTTTTTTTTTCTTTTCTTTTTATTTTTTATTTTTTATTTTTTGTTATTTTGGGGTAATAAATGTCAAGGGGTAGTGGTGACAGGGGAGGGAAATTATTAGGGATGCAATTCTCGTGGTTCGTAATCGTGTCGTATCGTGTCGATTTAGGGGTATTTTATAAAATAGTTCAACCTGAACACAGTCCGTTTAATAATCGTATTAGAAATCCTCAACACTGACCCGACCTATTTATTAAACGGGTTACACGTGTAACCGGTTTAATGACATGTTTAATAAAATTAAATATTTTATTATTTAAATTATTGATAATACTCGATCAAATATTAAATACTAGAAAAATATAAGTTTCAATTCAACCAAATTACTAAATAATTTCTAATTTACAAAATAATAAATTATAAGAAACAAGTTTAGATTGTTATTTTGAAACTTAAATAAAAATTTACTTTTGACACGTATAGTTAAACGGATATAAACGGGTTGAACCTCTCAACCCAAACACAACACGATTAATTAAACGAGTTAATCGTGTCGACCTATTTACAACTTGAATCCATAAAAAGTCTACCCAAACCCATTTAACTCATGTCGTGTTAGCTGATTGTGTCAAACTTTGTCACACCAATAAATGGTGTTTGAGATCGTGTCAAACTTTGTCACACCAATAGATGGTGCAAAACTCAAACACGAAATCTTAAACACAGGAAGCAACTCAACCACTTAAGCAACATAACAATTGCCACTAGATAAAAATTAATCATGTTCAAATATAATACTTCTTTTAAATTAAAAAATTTAATCCCACATGTACCCCTTTTTTTTCATTTCAATAATATATATAATATGAAAAATACTTGGGTCCTCCCATGAGAAGTTGAAGTTTATTCTCCTAAGTGAGGTGGACCAATAAAATTAGAACACATGTTAAAAAAAATTAAAAAGTTAAAAGATGAGTATTATCCATTTTTTACGGGTTAAAGGGTGGTTTTTATTTTTTATTTTTTTCTCCCATCTTACGCATTCTCTCTCTCCGCACTCCACGTTATTTCATCCCTCCCACCATTCACAAAACCTTAATCTTCGTTCTTTTCTTATGTTAATCCTGCAATGTTATGCTTGTAGCAAGGATTGTTCATATTCCTAAAATAGGTATGTTCAAATTTTATATTTGCACATCTGTAATTTTTTTTTTTTTCCAACAATACTCAATCGAATTGAGTTTTCATTTTGGAGTACTATGTTGTTTTTGTTAATTTGTTTTTCTCACACTTATTTAGTTTTTTACCCAAAAAATTTTAGATTAATATAATTGAGTTAGTATCATGCTTAATTGTCAGCACCATCAATCTTCTTCCTGGAAATGAGATTCCAAACTTAGGAAGAAGATTGATGTTGAAATTCATAAATCAAATTTCTCATCTCTGTACATCTATATATATATATATATATACAATAACATAAGAGTACTATAATGTTTAGATATGACTAGACAAGAGCAGAAAGTGAATAATTGCTATCATTTAGTGATTTGTAATATTTGTGACAATGATTCACAATGATTGAATCGGCATATGTAACTCATGTACTTTTTTAGTTAAAGATGTTTGCATTCCTTTAATCCAATCAATTACTGATAAGGTGATCCAAGGTGTATATTTTCTTAATTTTGCCAAACAACGTTCGCCTTAAATAACAACAATACTACTGTGTAGAAAAATTTTGCAACTTAGTAATTCCACCTTATTAATTATGTGATTTCATATATAAAATTGTTCATATATGTATATATATATGTGTGTGTGTGTGTGTGTTTGATACGATAACACATAATGGATACCTTTAAGAATGAACATTGCATATCTATCTACTAATATGGTTATGTCCCAGTATTGAATTAATTAATGCATCTTGAATAAGAATATGGTAAGGGGTGGAAGAGGAATTTTAAGGATTGAGATGAAAGTTGGGTATGGAAAATTACTTAATGTGGGAAAGAGACAAGAGAGGGAAGGTTTGGCCCTTTAGAAATGGGTAATACCCATCTTTTTACTTTTAAAATTTTTTAAAAATGTGTTCTAATTTTATTGGTCCACCTTACGTGGAGGATGAACTTCAACCTTCCATGAGATGATCTAAGTATTGTCCATATAAATATTACATTCAATAATATAAAAGGTCATAAATAATAATAAAATATAGAGTGTTGTAAAAATATGAGGTTTTTATATTATTATATAGTGGATAGAAATATATTGATTGGAGAAGATTATAGAATTATAGATAATTTATAAATATGTATATATTTAGGCAGGGTGTTCTATACATCAAATCTTAATTATTGACTATAATATATCTTAAGAGTCCATTTGAAAAGAAGATGCTTATATATAAATAGAAAGAAAATTTATAATTGACATGCTCCAAACCCATTGTGAGTTGTATTTTTGACGAATGTACCAAAGGAATGAAAGGAGTGTTTGATTACACATGAGTAGCACCGGAATAAATATGGATAAAGACTGCAGATCGGACATGTATTATTTACTTTTAGTTAATTTACAAATGGGATGAGAACACTGTTTTAACACAATTCCAATGAGAAGAAATATGAATACAAATTATCAATATTCCATATCATTTTACATTTAAGAATAAACTCATTAGTAATTGATATTAAGTTACATTAAACTTATAATAAAGAGGGAAATAAAAGGGATAGTGACGTACGTAAATTCTTTCTTTGTGATCATTTTCTTTTATTAGAGTACTGCTCTTAAGAAAGTTTTCTTATAAGAAGAATAATAAGTTCTTCATATTTAACTACTAAATTGAGACAAATTTTTTGAAAATAATTAAAAGTTAAGTGAATTATTTAATATATCTTTTAATTCATTAATTATTTTGAAAGCATTACTTTTTTCATTTTATAAATTTATAACAAACATGAGAAAATGTTCCTCTCATTTCCTATTCTTCTTTTTCTCAAACTAAATAGACTTGAAGGTTAGAGTATCAATAAAGTTTTGTTAGCTCTCATGATGGTAGTCATGAACCTTCTTCGGGGACCAAAGATAATTTATAAGATTTATGAAAAGTTAAATAAATATAAAGAAAATGATTATTCTATTGAATAATTACAGTGAATGATTAGATGTATTTTTTTAATCGGTCAATTATACAACAAATAAAGAAACGAAACCCTTAATTATATTTAATATAAATAATTAATTAAAAACTATTCAGTTAAATAATTCATTACAAATATTCTATACGAGTATCAATACTCTAAATATAATAATAAATCTCTCAATTCAATAGTCTGTCGATACACAGAGCTCATAAGCATGCTCTTTTGATTGTCCACCGAGAAAAACAAACACACCTACCTACCTAAAAGTATAAATGAATAATAGATTTAATCACTCAAATACTAATTCTTTGAAAAAGAGAAACAAAAAATAAATAGATAAACTTTTACTTCTTATCCTTTCTAGTAAAAAGTAGTAACCTCCCTTTTAAATTAAGCAAAATTATAGCGATATGGAGTAACCAAATGGGCGTGAACCCAAGTGAATGCGTTGCGTGGCATTTGCCAAAAGAAAAAGAAAAAAGAAAATAAAAAAAATACACTACCCACTTTTGCAAGTTGCGTAGGCGCGAAGCAGGCAAAATGTTTCAGGCATCAGTCAAGGTTTTGTATTTCTCAGACACCTGTGTCCTGTAGGTAGGTGACTGGATATCCAAAGAGAATATTCTCGTTCTCGATATCATTCGTAGTTTTCCCTTCTTTTCTTTTCTTTTTTTAACAATATGTTTTAGATTAACATTTTCGTCACCAACAGTCTGTGAGTCCAACCAAAAAAAAAAAAAAAAAGATTAACAGTTTCGTCCTCAAATTTTATGTATTAAATTAAATATTATCTAAAATGTGAGAAGTGGGTTAATAAAACAACAACTTTTGTTAACCCTTTCCGATGACAAGGTTTGCTTGAAACAATTAGGCTCACGTAAAATATTTTTTAAAATAATATATATATATTTTTAGTATTTGGTTATAGTAAAATATTTACGAAAAAAAATATTAAAATTTAACAAAAATAACTTATCCATTCATTTTTGACAAGTTATTTTACATGCTCCGATGTAGATCTTTGTCAAATACGGATAAAATATTTTTCAAAAAGTATATTTTAGTGTAATTTTTTATTACAAAGGGAAGGTTTATTCTGTAATTTTGCTTAATCTTATCTTCCTTTTTTTTTTCAACTCGACTTGCATCTAATGAGTTTTTATATTCTTAAAAGAAATTAGGGTGAAGAAATTAATAGGTGTTGTATTTTCAAAGTAATAGACATATTATTTAAAATAATGTTGTTTTGATCCACAAAAAAATTATTTTTTTCTTCAAAACTTTCCTCATTTAACTATATCAAATGAGAAATTTGAAGGAATAAACTATTCCTTTAAATCTTTTAAAATCATTTCTTTTTTTTTTTGCCTTATTAATAAATCAAAAAATGAAAATCTCACTCTCTCCTTCCCTTGGTCAATCCAAACCAAGCCTAAAATAAAAGATATCATACCATTTAACTAGAGAGACTGGGCGTGGGTTAATAATTTCTTCCGTAGGAAGGAATAGAGAAGTGTGGAAAGAAAATAAAAAAGTAGAATGTTTGTTCAGTAGAGGTAAAGATTATACAAAAAAATAAAAAATAAATAAAAATAAAAATAAAAAAATAATATAGAAGGGATATGATCATATGTGTCATCTTTCATTTTTTATAAATTTTCATCTGTCCAAGAATAGGCCGAAGATATAAAGGAAGAAAAGTGAACTATTATAGGGGCTAGTTTAGTGCGGTGAAATGAATTGGAAGGAAGTGAGAATAGAATGGAAATGATGATTCTTATTCTATCGTTTGGTCGCAAATATAGAATGCTTATTCTCATTCCTGTGTTTTGTAAGAAAGTTGGAATGGAATGGAATAAATTTATATTGTTTATTTAAATTACATTTTTTTAAAAGTAAAAAAAATTTACCCAAAAAAATTAACATCTGAAAAAATAAAAGGGACAAGAGATAATAGAAAGAGAAAATAGACTAGATAGAGAGAGAAAATAGATGAGAAAAAAATGGTTTCTAATTGAGACCACCGATTGTATAACAGCAAATCACAGACGAAGGTGACGAACACAACAGTGCAAAAAACAATCCCATACGACTCTACACGTGCTAACACACGCCACCTGAAGTTTTGCATGTAGATCTCACTAACCCGAAGAATTTTTCAATCATCTTCCCTCGCAATGTTATCCGACGACTTTCAACAAACTGATCCAGATCATTCATAGTCGCCGCTGTTTTAGTTCACTTCATCACTGGATCAAACCTCTTCTTGCTCGTCGAGGCCGGCTTTGCTTCTTTCTTCTTTATCCGTCGCCATTGCGTTTATAGGATTGATGTGGGTGTGTTTACAAGATTGATGTGGGTTTTGTAATTTGTTGGAAATTCAGTTTATTTTTTATTTTTTTAAAAGTGGAAATGTAATAGTCATTCATTTTGTTTGAAGGTGGAATGATTCTGATAGAATGATCATTCTCTAAGAATAGTAAGGAATGATGATTCTAACTTAAAAAATGCACACCAAACACACGAATTAAAAAAACAAAACTATTTTATTTTATTTTTTTTTATTCCATTCTTATCACACTAAACTAGCCTGAGTTTTTAATTTTAAATTAGAATAATATTCTTTATAAATTATAATATTCTAGATATTACTTAATATAATAATAAATACAATTAAAAACTAAAATGACAAAGGCCATTGGTTCGAAAAAAGTCAGAATAAATGGGACCCACAAACCAACTATACTGTCTCAACGTCGTTATATTGGAGTAAAACGCTGTTGCACAGTATTCAACTAGTTCTAGAGTAACACCGTAAACAAAAAACCATGGGGCCGCACACCAAAGACGAAAGCCCACAGAATATGACATTTAAAGGTACGGGTAAGTGCGACTTTTCTTGGGACCCACGAACCCAACCTAAGCCCGTTGAACCCTAATTTAAAAGGTGCGGTGCTCAAAACTCCCTGAAAGTGACAAGTAACAGTGACAAGAACACGTGCAGTTTCAAAAAGACAAACACACCCTCCATTCACAGCACGCGGCAAACAGTCGTTCAATCCTTTTACCCTTCCAACAGGATTTAACATTTTTTCTCGCTCCACTTGATTTCATTTTTTCTGAAAAATAAAAATTATTCCAATAACCTTAAGTAAATCAGACCACTAATAAGTAAATACTTATACTAAATCACAAATTACCATATTAAATTCAAATATTTTTACATCTTATTAGAGTTCACATGCATGGAAACTTGAGTTCAAATTCATATGTTAATGCTATTGTTCCTTAAAATATAATAGATATTTCATACCCATATAAATGAGCTCAATCTGGTTATTGATGTTACAAGAAGTACTACTGTGTTTTCTTTTGTGCATTTTGACATTGCTAATACCACGAAGAGCTTAACTGGCATTATTGTTAGAAATAAAAAAAAACTTTTGCCACTAGAGCTGGTAAAAAATTATTAACCATATAAAGGTGCATATTTTTTAAGACATATTATAATAAGTATTTTAACAATTAAATTATTTTTAAATATATATTTTATCGCGATAATAGTTAGTAGCTAGTTGGGGAGGAGAAATATCTATTGCTAATTTAATAGTTTTTAATACACTTCTATTGCTAATTTTACAATAATATTTTTAAATATAATTTTACCATTTTTAATAATAACAACTTTATAAAAGGACATAAATTGTCTTTCTAAAAAATTAAAAAAAGAGACACACAATTATCTTTAAAAAAATTACCTAAAGTATACTCCATATAGTTTTAAAAGCTCTCAATTCTATTTTAATCAAAAACTTTAATTGGTAATTATTAAATATGCTTTTAATGATCGACAAAAAAATCTAAATGCAATTTTTTAAAATAGAAATAATTTTAAGTATTTAAAAAGAGTAGTGATATTCACACCCAAAATTTGCAGTAAATTGCCTAATCGAATAATTTTTAATTAGTTATTTGTACCAAATACAATTAAGTGAAGGACTCTATTTTCTTATTTATTGCATAATTGATTAATTAAAAGAACATGTCTAATAATTCAGTGTAACTATTCAGTATAAAAATTATTTTCCTTCAAAAAAAATACTTTTAAGCGGTTGAGAAGAGCTCAAGTTAAGCTCAGAGGCACTCACAAAATTTGTTTGAAAAAATTACTTTTTCTTTTTATAAGATTATTAAATTATATTAATGAAAATTGATAGGATTTAATTATCTTACATTTGAAAAAGTAGAATTCCTTTTATTTTGTTTGAATTTGTTTTTCTCGACCGACGACAGTGGTATCGTTGTATTCCTTTTTCTTGAGAGAAAAGAAACCTTCGGACTCTTAAATTTCCATTCGCTGTTCAGTTTGGGAACCAAACCAAGCATATTATCTGGTCAAGCTTCAAGCATCCTTTGGTCGATTTACGCCAGCTCTCTCTCTCATCAAAACACCTTCCTCTCTCTCTCTCTCTAAAACTCTCTCCTACTCCTCTCTCTCTCTCTCTCAGCAGATATCCATTCTGTTCCTCCGCCATTCGAAGTTCAGATTCTTTCATTGATCAACAAAAATGCATGCGAATCACTTGCTTCTCGAAGAGCCTATCAGGATGGCCTCCATTCTCGAGCCATCAAAATCTGTATGTCTCAATTCTTAAATACTTTTTTGGTTCTCAACCCAGATCTATAATGACATAAATATATATATGTATGTGTTTGAATTTTGATTTGGGGGTTCTTCAATGTTGGATTGTGCAGAGTTTTTTCCCTGCAATGACAAAAATCGTCGGGACTTTGGGTCCAAGGTCTCGATCTGTGGAGGTTATTTCTGGCTGTCTCAAAGCTGGAATGTCCGGTACCATATAATTTTCCTCTGTTTAATTTTAAATTATTTTTGAAATTTTTTGTATGTATGTTTGAATGTTTGTGTATCTATTTAAAATTGGTTGCGTGTTTGTCGTTTATAAAGGCTTACTGTTGGATTTGGTTAATATTAATGCCTCGTGAGTATATTGCAGTGGCTCGATTCGACTTTTCCTGGGGAGGCTCTGAGTATCACCAGGAGACTTTGGAAAATTTGAAGGCGGCTGTGAAGGGTACTAAGAAGCTCTGTGCGGTATGGGTTTCAGTGACAAAGATCTGATTATTATTATTGCTGTTGTTATATTATTAATTCTGTTTATGCAGTTATGCTTATACTGATCATTGCCTTACCAAAAAAAAAAAAAAAAAAGGATTTTTATTTATTTATTACTTTTTATTATTTGGCTGTCTTGCTATATTATTTTTGTTTTGTTTTGTTTTGTTTTTTAATTTGATGACATCCACTTGAGCTGCTTCCCATTTTCACTTTTTTGCCCATGATTAAGGGGGAAACAAAGAAGGAACAACAGATTGAACCTTAAGTTTTATGCTATCTTGGATTGTAGATAATAGGAAAGAATCAGCCTAATTTAGCCAAATTGTTGTCTTGTTTCGTAGATATGGGCTAGGACTCTTTTGAAGTTTCAGAAGAAGTGATTCAGGATATGTTCCACTAACTTTATTTTAATTTTATTATTTGGTTCTCCAAAAAAAAAAAAAAAAAAGTTGGAAAAGTATTGTTTTATGCATTCAGTGTGTGCTGATATTATGAATCATCCATACATAGCTTTATCATACTGGCCAACATAAAGCCAGTCAGGTATCCTTATTTGTGCTGATCTTGTTTGCCGTCAAATTTTTTATTTTTTATTTCCCCAAAGATTCAAAATTTAGTAATTTCTTACCTTTTTACACATTTTGTTATCAAAAGCTGATATGTTGGGCTAGTGCTACGTGGAGTCACTATGGACTTGATGATGGTTCAAACCTCGTTGTTCTCTGTGATTTGAGAAAATTTGCATTTTCTCTACAACCAAAAAAGCATGTTATTAATACATGAATAAAAAGAATTGAGAATTTATTGTTGTATTTCTTTTCAGGTTATGTTGGACACAGTGGGTGCTGAGTTGCAGGTTGTTAATAGAAGTGAGACCTCTATTTCGCTTAAGGCGGATGGTATTGTTGTTCTGACACCTCACCAGGATCAGGATGCCTCTTCTGAAGTATTGCCTATCAACTTTTCTGGACTGTCAAAGGTGTGAATACTTCCATCTCATCATCACAAATTGTTCTGATTCATCATCTATATTGGTATAGTAGTGTTTCAATTGTATGTAGTGAATACTTCTTGTTTGTATATTGGCACTTGATAAACTAACTGGTAGCATTAAAAACTAAAAACTCATACTGATACTTAATAGTGTTCGCTTCAAATGTATATTGACACTTGATAAACTTATTGGTTGCATAAAAAATTAGAAAACTCATACTGTTACTGAATGGTGCTTGCTGCAAATGAAAGGCAGTTTAACTTTGAAACCACAACGCTGGTCCCAAACTTGTTCTTTCTCAGCATAATGGATACCATGCGTGTACCTGTCTAGATCTCCCTGCATGTCTTATGGAATTATGTGTACTCGTATTGATTCTGTAATTGCATGATAAAATTGTTCTATTCTTGTGATCTTGCTTACTATAGTATCCATACTAGACCTAAAATTTGGTTATTACAGGCAGTGAAGAAAGGAGACACCATATTTGTTGGGCAATACCTTTTCACAGGAAGTGAAACTACTTCTGTTTGGCTGGAGGTAGGAGGCAGAATTTATTTAATGTCTTTGTGCTTTTATCTCTCTTCTTCTTTATAAAATTTATTATTATTATTATTATTATAATATTTTTTTGTATTATTATAATTATTATTATTGCATTTGGTGGAGGGTAATGGCATTTAATAGATTCTTGCACTATAATTATTTATCTTTAGGCTCAAAATTGGAGTCAGGACATAAGTGAAAAGTTATTTATTTTTAGGGCTCAAAATTGTGATATCAAGTTATATTAGGTAATTATTTTAATCTGCACACAAGTTGCCTAAGGTCACAAGGCAAATGGTTGAATGGTGATTTTTTTATTGAAATTGTGTAGGTGGATGAAGTGAAAGGGGAAGATGTGGTTTGTGTGATAAAGAATACTGCAACATTAGCTGGGTCATTGTTCACTCTACATGCCTCTCAAATTCATATTGATCTTCCTACCCTCTCAGATAAAGATAAGGAGGTGGGTCCTGCTCTTAAACAAAGCGTGAAATTTTGTATGTGCATTAATGCACATGTTTGTATTTTCTTCATTTCATGCAGAGAGTTTTTTCTTTTTAGCTTTTGTTTTCCCTCGTGTCAATGCCATAGCTTTATTAGCTACTGCTTTTGGTGATAATTCATGTTACCCATTGCAGGTCATAAGTACGTGGGGTGCTCATAATAAAATTGACTTCCTCTCGCTCTCTTATACGCGACATGCAGAAGATGTTCGTGAAGTAAGGATGATTTATAGTTTACTTTTGTCTTGTTTCTTTAAATTTTATTATACTTTTTTTAGTTAGTTCTTTTTGTTTAAGTAGTTCCAATAAGATGCTCTTTATGCTGTAATATAGGCCCGTGATTATCTATCTAAGCTGGGTGATCTCAGTCAGACTCAAATCTTTGCAAAAATTGAGAATGTAGAGGTGAGTTTCATGTATTGGTTGCTCGTATTTAGATGTGATTTCTCAGAAAATCACTTGACAATTCTATTTAAAGAGAATACTTATCTCTCTCTCCCTCCCCCCACCCCCCTCTCTCCCTCTGTCCCCTTTTTAGGGTTTGACCCATTTTGATGAGATTCTACAAGAAGCAGATGGTATCATCCTGTCCCGTGGAAATCTGGGCATAGATCTCCCACCTGAGAAGGTTAGTTTTTTTCAACTTTAACTACTCTATCAGTTCAGTTGTATTGAGTTATGCACAATCAACTACGTGGTCATGTCAGATGAGTTAATATATGTATGTCCACGTTGTGCAGTAATACTTGTACAAATTGGTCCACACAGAAATGAGAACTCATTACATTGGCTCTTTCATTGTATATTACATACCACTAATGCAACATCAATATTTTGCTTGTGTCCATGAGATGAATGTAGGATGTTCCAGTTGGAATATCCTGCTACCTTGAGGTGACTGAAGGTATTATGAAGAATTTTGTTTATGTGCTCTCTTAACTCTGAAGAGGAAGCTGCTGGAGTTATAGTTTTTGGAATTGGTGATCTATGTAGACTGTCATGTCTAATGATTCTTAAATATGTATAGATTTGTGTCCTATTGCTTTAACATATAAAATTTAACATCGTCTATTTATAATTTAGGCATCTTAGGTGGTTGAAGCCATTGTAGTACAGTGGAGAAGTTGCTTTTATGGCATCATCTAAAGGGAGGGGTGCAAAGGGTTTGATTTTTGTAGCTAAGTCAGCAATGACATATCAGAAAAATAAAAATAAATTCTCCATTAGTTTTTTATTTTATTGCCTAGTCTGTTAATTGGTACGAAGCTGGTGAACTTGCAAGTGATTATTTTTCAAACTTCCTGGGTTTAAGAAACGGAGGGACCAGATAGGAACTCATGGCCTATGTATTAATCTTTTGAACATATTTTATTGAATGAGTAAATGAAGAGAATTCCTCACCCGTGATGCGTGAGTTGGTCTGTTTGTGTATGAATGCAATTTCAAGGTTTTAGAGAGTGGGTCCAACAGAAAGAGAGTGGTGTTACTAAGAATCATTCTTTTTTCGGTAGTTAATGTGATTCCTTAAGTTATAAAATTTATCAATTCTTTTTTGGATCCTTGTTCCTTCCTCAATCATGTATATGATAATGTGGGCATGATTTTTTTGAAACAATTTGGAAGGAAACTTCATGCAAAATATTTCAAAACTATTAAGTGTCAACCTTTAGTTGCTTGGTATCTGCTATTGATGATTTAGGATTTAGATCAATACATCTTAAATAATATTATGTTCAATAATTTTATAAATGTAGATAAATTCATTTTGTGTTGTAAGCTTACGAATTTCTTCAACATTGCCTATATATACATATTTTTATATATGTACTGTGGTGATTTATGTCAAGAGGTTTTATTTTTGTGGTTATTTACATCCCTCCTAGTTCCAAGGTTGAGATGACTGTGTAAGGTTTAGACACCAAGTACAAGATAGCAAACATAAAAGCTTTGCCTTGTCTAGCACCATTTAAAAGGGTGCTCCATCCAACAATCCAAATTTGAGTGATTAAATTAGTATAATGAGTTATCTTGGTAGAATGTATATTGTTGTATGGATCTTAGGCAGATACATTGAAGGAATTTAAGGCCATTTTACCCTCGTACCTTACTCAGTATGTGCATTCCTTTTAAAGGACACCATGCCCCTCATTTTTATACCTTTTGTTATTCTTGGTATTTATACAGTTTTTATGTTTGGTCTTTCTTTTCGTCTTTTTAAGGGGTTGTACCCTGGAGAGGCAAAAGAAAGCCTTGTAATTCATTTTTTTATTTGAAGATCTTTTAAAGCACTAGTCCCGTAAATGTTTTTGGGAAGAAACGTCAAAATGGATTTTCATATTAAGAATTTCATAAGTTAGTTGAATCACATCATATTCATCTTATCATGAATCATAGAGTAGGAGAGCAATTTGTATCACTATTCATATTATTTTACATTTGCAATATACTTCATCTCATGTTTTATAGTGTCCATTGTCCGTATCAATAACTGATGATTGTGTAATGCTCTAATTTTGGTTTCGCCCTGTTAATGAGTATGTTGTATCTTGCTTTCTTTTGTGGATGTAGTGTTGGCATTAGTTGTTGTATAGAACCCGAGGCTGATTTCCTTTATATAACTTTCAGGTGTTCTTATTTCAAAAAGCTGCTCTTTACAAGTGTAATATGGCTGGAAAGCCCGCTGTGGTAACTCGTGTTGTGGATAGTATGACTGACAATCTTAGACCAACTCGTGCAGAAGCAACTGATGTTGCCAATGCTGTATTGGATGGTGAGCCATTTTAGTCTTGAGATTTTCCATAATAATATTATGTCATTGTATGTACTGTACTATTACTGATGTAGGGGATTCTAGATGCGTTCTTGTTGGTTTGTGGTCCTTATTTGAGTATTCCTTTTTTTTTTTTCTCTCTCTCTCTCTCTCTCTCTCTCTCTCTCTCTCTCTCTCTCTCTCTCTCTCTTTATAATTATTGTTATTTAAAAAACAAATATTTGATAGGTCTTTCTTTGACAATTGTGATGTGTAGATAGATCTACGACCTTTTTTTCCCCCCTCTTTTTCTACTGATTCTATAAACAAATGCAGGAAGTGATGCGATCCTGCTTGGTGCTGAGACCTTGCGTGGATTGTACCCCATAGAGACTATTTCTATTGTTGGTAAAATTTGTGCTGAGGTAATCTTTCCCTTTACTCTGTGCAACCTTACAATGTGCGTCTTTATCAATTAATTTCTTTTTGTCATTTATGGTTCTACTGTGTTGGCTATCTGACACCACAAGCTGCTTGTCGTTTGAGTGGGTATCACAATGCTTTGAAAGTTGTAAAAACTACAAAAGTAATAAATAAGACTTAGTTCTATGTGCTCCATACATACCCATAATTCCCGTAGCAACTTTTCTTATTGATATATTGTGGTTGAGTTTTTACCAATGACAGACATCATAATTCTCAAATTGCCATGCAGGCGGAGAAGGTTTTCAATCAAGACTCATATTTTAAGAAGACTGTCAAGTATGTTGGAGAACCAATGACCCACTTGGAATCCATTGCTTCTTCTGCGGTATTTCTTTTCAAGTGTTGCTATTGTACCACATTCCTTTTTAATGATTGTAACCCTACTGAGTTGATTTTAGTTTTGATTTGGTTGAAATAACTTTCTATATAAAAAAAATTCATAGGATTTTCCTCTCATTTTTTTCCTTCTAGGTGCGGGCAGCTATTAAGGTGAAGGCATCTGTTATTATTTGCTTTACTTCATCTGGAAGGGCTGCTAGGTATTTTATGGATCTCTGAATGCTCATGAGCTCGTATTTATTTGTTTACTTTTTTTGGATACAGTCCTACCAGATACCAAATAACCTCCGAGACTGGTTAAAAATTTGCTTCTCTTACAGTTTGTAAAATTGGATGGCATCTTTCAGAATATTAATTTAACATTATTTTTAGCCAATATGCAACTGTTCCATATTCACACTAGCCCATAACACATCAATACTCAAAGACGTACATATATGTGCAGATTAATTGCCAAGTATAGGCCAACAATGCCCGTTCTATCGGTTGTCATTCCTCGGCTCAAGACAAATCAACTAAAGTGGAGTTTTAGTGGTGCATTCGAGGTATGCCACACCTAAGTTTTCTCATAGCCTTCTACTGCCAGATAGTTTCTTATTTTCTGCAGGATATATTGTTCTTTTACGTTAACATCCATGTAGTTATTATTTGATATTGAAGCCTAACAAGATATACACATTTTTTTTTTTTTTTTAATGGTTAGGCAAGGCAGTCACTTGTAGTCAGAGGTCTTTTCCCCATGCTCGCAGATCCTCGACATCCTGTAAGCTCTTATTTTACTTTACTTTCTTGTTGATATTGCTATTGGTGATGAAATTATATTTCTTTGTATAGTGGATTATCCTTCATGTTTATTGAGTTACCAGCTTGGGCCTAGAAAATGTACAATGTCCTGGCTGTAATTCCATTTTCTGGCATGAGGATGTGCTCAAGCCAGTTCCAAAACTCTGTTTTTCAGAAAAATTATATGGTTAACCTATCTTCTTTATTCTCTCTTGCCAACCTTAGATGATCATATAACTTGATCCATTGTGTCCAGCCTGCGTTTGTCTTTCTCGTGAATCGCGCTGGCTTGAGCATAAGGATGTGCTCCAGCCAGCTTTGGGACTCTGTTTTTCATGAAAATTATATGGTCAACCTGTCTTCCTTGCTATCCCTTGCCACCCTTAGGTCATGTCTCATTTGATCCACAGTCCAGGCTACATTTCTTTTTGTAGTGAGTTGCTGGAGATAGCACAGATGGTTGGCATGATTGAATTGTAAACTTGCTCATGCTCGCATGCACACATGAACTCTTAAGCTTACATAACAACACAGGGCGGTGACAAAGTCAATGATGGTGCATCATTTGAAACAATCAATCATCTAAAATGTTAAATATTTTGTGCAGGCTGAATCTACTAGTGCAACAAACGAGTCAGTTCTGAAGGTTGCACTTGATCATGGCAAGGCCTCGGGAGTTATAAAGTCACATGATCGAGTTGTCGTGTGTCAGAAAGTTGGGGATTCATCCGTGGTTAAGATCATTGAGCTTGAAGATTAGAACGCTTCGCTTACCCTTATTTTGAGCCATTCTTTTTGACCTAATATTTGGGAGTGTTTTTGGAATCACATGTGAGGTTTAAATTTTGAGTTTTTGGATATTATCTTACAATGTCACATATATTATGAATGTATGCTTTTTATCGAAACTAGAGTGATGAAAATCAAGCCAAGTTTATACTTTTGAAATTCAACGATTATCTTATAATGTGACTATCTATGCATGCTTGACAGTATATTCTGTGATAGGTTTTACTTTTAATGAAGTACAATTGAGTGTTTCTTTTCTATTGATTGTTACTTATCTTAAATTTTGCGTATTTCTTGTCCTCTTTAAGTTGAGGAAAACCTAAAATTCTTGTTCGCAAGTTCGCCTTTGAAAAAGTGAGATTCATTCCTGAAAATTTTGTGATGTTGGTCGGTATCCATTCCATCTTTATCTTCATTTGATTTTGGGGGATAAATTATCTGTTTATATTCGTGAATAAAACAAAGAGGAAAGGAGATGAGAAACAAAATATTTTTCTTTATTTCTGAGAATCAACGAGTGTCTCTAAATTTAGCATATCATAGAAATTGCGTCCATCAAAAGTTTAAACATTTTTTCTTTAGTTCCAACTCCAAAGCATGAACTATACACGAAAAAAATCTTTAATGGGTGTGCAAGAGATCATGATGTGTGTATATGTATATATATAAATTGTCAGGATTTTTTTTACTATTATATATCACTAATTTTCTTATTTTCAATTATATACTTATAAAATTTTCACTTTGCCCCTCTTAAAATTACGAAAAAAAAATACACTAAATTCATTTTTACTCCTCCTACACTAAATTCTTACACTGGAATCAAAAGAATGATATGATTTATTGAACTTTAGAGGAGGAAGTGAATAAGCTCAATGTCTGATTTTACAAGTCTATCTTGAGAGATGTATTTAATTTAAAAATAGAGGCGAGAAAGTCAACTTTCATGTCGTTATTGATTAGACATCGCTAACTGTGAAACCAAAAGCGCCCATGGCCTAATGGATAAGGCGTCTGACTTCTAATCAGGCGATTGTGGGTTCGAGTCCCACTGGGCGTGTATTTTTGTTAAAATTATATTACTAATTATTTTGCTCCACAGGTTTCCTTAAGATAATAAAACACTAATGTGCCTTGAATAGAAAAATTCAGTAAATTATAACTTGTAAAAGTAAGAGATAGAGGAGTGAGACTTCCTGCCCACCTCCAGCAACTTCAACTTCAACTTCCTTGGCGTGTGGGGTAGGATCTATGAGTTTGGAATAACACAAACACGCCACATGCTGCTAGGAAAGTGGTTGCTTTGTCAACAAAATTGCTATACATATATATATATATATATAGATGTCAAATGTTAGAACACTAATTGTAATGCGAGATCAATATATAATTATATTTTCTCTAAGTTCAAATTCAATGCACTGAATTGGTTCGATGGGTGCTCCCAAATATAGAATAAGACCCCGCTAAGTAAAACAGTAATATTTAACTGTATAACACTGCATGTATGTGTGTGTATAATAACTACGTGATACCATAGAAAAATGCCTGTGCAAACCTGTGTAATGTATCGTGGAGTATGGGACTGATTTGGAATTGGGGCCTCCAATAGGTACACAACTTATTTTGATGTACATATGAGTTTCATCAATGATCAAACTATTTAATCCAACAAGTCCCACACGTAACTTTGACTTGTCTCTTTAGAGGTATCCCAGATTCAGTACCACATCAAATCAGCCATGGTTTTTGTTATCTTGTGGTCCAAGATTTTGATTAAGAATTCTTCAAACAAATACGGGACACATGCATTCGCATAATATAGATATCATTTTGTGTCGTGTATTATATTATTACCATATTATTTAGTGACTTAATTTATAGATTGTCAAATTTCGTTTGTTAGCTAAAACGGTCTACAGTTGAATTTGCATTCAAGTTTGCTGCTTTTCAATGTTCAATTTTTTTTTTTTTGCCTAAACCATATTCTGAAAAGATGAGGTAGGACTGGACCAAATTGAACCAACTGGCAGCTGTAAAACAGTAAGTCAATTTATTTCATAGAGTATTTATTTATGCACATTCTACTAAAAACCTATCCATTCAAAACACATGGCAGAGGAATTTAGGGACTCACATTGTCTGGTTTGGATCGGATAAGGAGTATTTTGGGATCAAATCATTTATAACGGTAATACTATTTTTGAAACCTGACCGAATCATAACATTTGGAACCAAACCAAACCAAACAACAAAAAACAAGTTTGGTTTGGTTCCGTTTGTCGATCTCAGTTGATTTTTATTTTATTTTATTTTAATTTTGAGGGGGCAAAGTTTAAAAAAAATAATAAATAAAATATCAACTAACATTGATATAATACGCAAAAAAGTAAAAAATAAAATAAAATTTAAGAAAAAAAAAAAGGAAAGAAAATTGAGATATATTTGAAAAGAAAGGAAAGAAAATTGAAATATATTTGAAAAGGAAAATTTGACTTTTTAAAAAATAAATTTATAAGGAATTTAAAGAACAAAAAAAAGAAAGAGAGCATGTGAGAACTTTAATTGATTTAGGGTTTAGGATATGTTATTCATATATAAATATATATTATATAACATAGTAACGTTCGGTCCGGACTGATCCGGTCCAGCATGACCCTAAACCAGGACTGGATCGAAAAATTACAGTTCCGTAACTTTGGATTCAGAACCGGACCAAACAACTATACAACTAGCCCAAATCAATTAATTCAGTACCGTCCAATCCGCTTTTTCAATTTATCGAATTTTTTGAACTACCTTAGAGGATTTAATATTATATTACGTTTAAAATTACGTCAGTTTATTAATTTGATGTTAAAATAATGTGATTTCATGTCTGATTTCTTGTTGCCATTCATAATTGAAAAAGTAAATGTCACAATCAATATTATTAAAATAATGATTTCCTAATACTATGTCAGATTATTGACCGATGACCACGTGATAAAAGAGTATTGGATTGAATAAAATCTTTTCTAAGATCGTTTTGATTAGTTTTCTCATACTAATGCTTGTCGAGATTATACAAAACACCACGTTTCAGATACTTAATTTAAAACGAAAGGGGTATATTCAAAAATTTTAAATACACAAGTTTGAACTCAACAAATGAATTAAAAAACTCAACCAAGAAAATTTCACCTAAGAGAAGGTAAATGAACAACTTTTCAATAATAATAATAATAATAATATATGCCATTGCTTTGACTCTATATAGGTACAATTTGTTTCTCTACAAGAAGAACTCAAATCACATAAGCAAAACATCTATTTCAAATTTACATATAAAAAAAAATAATAATAATAACAAAAAAAAAAAAATCTAATCATGATCCAAGAAGTTAAGATACAACTTTCAAACTAATTTAAAAGATTGGAGTAGAAATAAACTCCCAACTTGATTACCATGATTTGGTATTTTTTTTGTACGATTTTTATTATTATTATTATTTCTTAATTGGTACTTACACACATACCTTCACTGAAGGTTCGAATCCTTTATCTACTTTTGAGAAGTAAGGACTTAGTATTGTAAGGCCATTGACATGTTGATATACAATCATTATTCAGATAGTATAACAATTGTTGGTATTGATTCTGCCTCGATGAACAATAAATAATATAAAAGATATAATTTGTGCATTAATCTTACTTTTCTTTTCAAACAATTAATAAATCCTATAAATTTTAAATAAGACCACTAATAAATTCTACTCGTGTTTTTCTAGATAAATATTTCCATATTAGTTCTAGATCTATCAAACATTCAACTTTACCTATTATAATTTGTAATAGTATATTTTCAATTTATTGATAATTTATAGTCAATTTTAATTTCTCTAAAAAGTTTCACTTTATTCCCTCAAATAGTAATACTATTTATTTATTAAATTTTTTTGAATCATTTTCTTATATTTTTAGAAAATTATGTTTCAACTACTTAAAATATTTCCAATTTACCACTACCAAAGACTTACAAGTAGATATTATCTAACATTCCTTAACAGGAACACACTGTCTCACTGCCTCACTGGTCTTTCTTCGCGAATTGTGTCTTTTCAATTCCCACCGCCACCGCCACCGCCGTTAATGGCGGCGACACCACCCTATCACGGACGATCTGTTCACCAACATAGAGTATAGACTGGGTTCTGAAGATGGGTGCAACTTTATCGAACCTGGCCGAAGCATCGAACGGCCCAGGGCTCGGTGACATACCGGAGAGCTGTGTAGCCTGCGTCTTCCTCTACCTCACTCCGCCGGAGATTTGCAACCTCGCTCGCCTGAACCGCGCCTTCCGCGGCGCCGCTTCGTCCGACGTCGTTTGGGAGTCAAAGCTGCCTCCCAACTACCAAGATATGCTCGACCTATTGTCTCCTGAAAGGTTCCAAAACCTGTCCAAAAAGGACATCTTTGCCCTCCTCTCTCGCCCCGTGCCCTTCGACGACGGCAACAAGGCATGTAGTCTCACATTTTCTTCTGCTTCTAATTGAATTATATGTATATATATGTATGTATATATTGGTAAAATATTGGAAGTTAAGGTTTTGGGTCTTTTTCTTCTTTAGATTGCTAAAAGAAACTACTTTTATTCGCCACTATTGGAATATATTGAATTGTGTGTTCTGTTGTTTAGTTTGTTTTTCTTCTTTGGGTAGGAATAGGCTAATTTTCTTTGTAGTTCTTGGCTAATATTGAAAATTGTGTTTTTTTGGGTCTTTTTCTGTTTGGGTTGGGAGTGTTGAGTGTTCCTTAGTTTGTGTGTTTGGAGAATTGGGTTATTTCTTATTTGTGTGTGTGAGGTTGGACTATGGTGATAATTGCATTCGTAGTTAGCAGAGTAAGATTGAAAATTACAGTCATACAGGAATTCTATTTGGGCTTTGGAGTATTGGGTATTTATTGAACTTTTTTCTTGATTTGGGAGATATGTCAGGAAGTGTGGTTGGATAAGGTTACAGGGAGGGTTTGCATGTCAATTTCAGCCAAGGCAATGGGGATAACTGGGATTGAAGATCGAAGATACTGGAATTGGGTTCATACGGAAGAATCAAGGTTAGATTCTAACAATTTCAGCATGATGCGACAAGCAGTATTTTTAACTTTTAGTTGGATGAGTATATTTTTCTGTGCTGTGACCACAATTTTTGTTCCTCTCTCTCCAAGGCCGTAGCTTCAGTCAAACCACATGTTGTCATATCCTTCCTTACTAACACTAACCAGGTTAATTTTGGTCTTCCCTTTTCCTTAGATATTAATTTGTTTATCTAATGGTGTTAAATATACAGATAATGATTTGAAGGTCAACAGAGGCTCCGAACGTCACAATTGACACCCCTCATCTCCTTGAAATGTTCACATATTAGTGTTCGTTTTTTGGGCTTGCCTCTTTGTTGTGGTATGTTTGTAGTTTGTCTTGCCTCTGTTCAACCAGAAGAAGTTGCACTTGGTTATTGTTCATACAGAGCATTCCTCGCACACTATCTCTAGTAGGAGCAAAGAATTTTGTTGAACAGAATAAGAAAGACAATGTGTAAAGCAACACAATGTACAACCTTATAAGTATGTACAACCTTGTAAGTTTTATCTTTTCCACCGAGGATATTGCCAATGCTATATCCTCCTTCAGGGATGGACCTAAAGAGGGCCCAATGGGGGGTCCACTGTTTTTTTTTTTTTTTGGACAATACTTAGGTCCTCACCAGTGAGTATGTACACTGTCCTCACCGCTGATGTTGGCCAATAGTAAATGAATGCGTTCTCTTTAATTACCAAATCAGTAGGGTATATACTCACTTATCAAATCAGATATGGTGCTATATACACCATCTTTGATTTGGTAATGAAAGAAGATATGTCCACTTATTATTGGTCAACATCAATGGTGAGGGCGGTGTACATCCTCACTGGTGAGGACCTAACTATTGGCCTTTTTTATTAGACACTTGTATGCAGTGTTGTTAAAGGCGCGCCTAGGCTCGAGGCTCAGGTTTAACACCTATTGTCATCCCAGGCTCACTGATGTTTACTAGGCATGCGCCTCGGTTGCGTCTCGTCCTGTTTGTGGTGCACCTCATTGATATTTGTTTAAAAAAATACGATTGTTCTATTTCTTAAGCCAAAAAGGGTACTTTTGGCACCTTAATAAACAAAAAAGAAAGCTCAATCATACGATATAAGGAACTTTTGTTCAAAAGAATAAAAAAATAAGAAAACCCAAGAGTCAAAGTGTCAGCCGAACAAAGATAGAATGAGATTGTGAGACGAAGACGAAGCCCTAGTTGCAAAGATGAACAACGAAGCCACGTAATTTCTTTCTTTTCTGTTTTTTTTTTTTTTTTTTTTTTTTTTTCCCTCTCTTCTCCTCTAGATCTCTCCTCTCTTCTTATCTTTGTTTACATCTCTCTCTTCGTCTAGTTCTCTCGTCTCTTTGTCTTTTTTTTTTTTTTTTGCTTTGTCAACAAATTTATTTATTTATTTTTATTTTTTCATATATATTTCTTTTTGTGCTTTGTTTTGCCATTCAAAAAACACATTTTGCTTTGCCTTTCAAGAAAACAAATTTGTAGTCTGTTTTATGGTTGTTGGATGCTTGTATAGTTGATGGATTTACTTTTTTATATTTGATATTAATTTTTAGAATATTGATATGACTTATGAGATATGAATGTTATTATGGTAGTTTAAATTTTCAATTGTGCGCCTCACTTAACTCAGGCCCGCGCCTCACCGTACGCCTCACGCCTAGGCTCCAAAGGACCTCTAGCGCCCTAGTGCGCCTTGGGCCTTTAATAACTTTGCTTGTATGTATTTTGTAAATTTTAAAATATTCCCATAAAAAAAAAATATAAAAAAAAAACCCACTATAAAAATATGTCCCTACTGAAATGTTTGGCTCTAACCTAATCGCTCTTTTTATTATCGTATTGAATTGTTTTATCGTATGCAACTTCAAGAGCTAAATAGTTGTTTTGCTGAAGGAAATACTGAGTTTTTACTTTCTATGACATGCTTGTGGCTAGATGATTCATTCTTTGTTTTTTAGAAGCAAAAACTAATCTGTCTTGGAATTCTTTAGTTGCTATCATGAAACTTGGTGATCAATCTAAGAGACTAAGACTTACATTGTGGATGTGCACTCTAGCAACAAGTTTAAAGGATTAAAAGGGATTGATGATCTGGCCAAAAAAAAAAGGTCGAAACAACAAAAGATATGGTGGATTCCTTGGTTTATTTGTTTGTGACATTCATATCGATCCTACCAGTTGCGATTGCCAAGGTAGATAGGGCATTTTCTACTATGAATATTGTGAAGATCCGATTGCGCGCAATCAGATGAGAGATCCAAGTGATAGTTTGATAGTATATGTTGAAAAAGATATATTTAGTAGCTTTAGGTAATGAAACTATCACACAACGTTTTCTAAATATGAAAACTCATCGAGGACAACTGTAAATATACGCAATAAAATTATCATTGAATGTTAAAGTTCTTGTATTTATCATGATAACTTGATTTTTTATTTTTATTTTTTATCTTCTTGTTTAAGGCCGCTCGCTCTCAAATAATTGTCTAGGTTTGTCACTGTCCTTCTTTACTCCTGAAGCATGACAATGTCTGCCACCTTTTCTGCTGCTCTGTTCACTTCTTTATAATATTCACTTCTTTGAAAGCTAATGAAATTTTGGAAAATAGCCTTTCGATAAACCGTGAAAACTAGGAAACAAAGACCTCCAGTTATGTGAATCCTGATAACTATTGGGTTTCATTGAAAATATACCTGATTTTGGAAGTGTTGGACTTAAATTAGATGAAATCTTTATAAATGCTCTCTTTGTTCTCCTCTCATATAGTTTTGAGCATTTTAACTTCATATATATATATATATATATTTTTTTTTCTGACATGTTTTCTTCTCTGCTTATTGTTCCCTTGAGCTTCCTCTTAAAATATATTGAGCAGCTAAAGTGGTTCACTGGGAATTTCTTGCCTCACTTATTAAGCCTACCTTATAGTACTTGACCCCGCCTTGGTTGGTTTTAGTTGTATCTTATGATAACAACAATAAGAAATCCACTTTTTTTTTTTGGAAGAATATTTAATTTGTGTTTTAATAGTTATACCATGAGTTCTTTTCTTCAGTTTGCATTTGCCTCTTCAATACCCCTTAACGTACTTGTGTTGACATGGCATGACATGAGATGGGTGTATGTGGAATTTGTGTTTGACACACTTACCCAATTTAGAGACTCACATCCTCTACATGCGATGATGACAAAAGCATAAATTTAGTAGCAAACAAAAGTTTTCTACTCCCAGTATAGATGAAATCATTTTCTTTTCACCACGTCCCACACAACTTAAATTAAACTCCGTAACTGAATTTATTTTTAAAGAACAATATCATATGTTATGTTATTAGATAACATAATATATATTTAACATGCAGAACGTGTTTGCATACCTGTAGCCAAGTTTTTGACACATTTCAAGTCAAGTACCCATGTCCTAAGACTTGGGGTTCAAGGAGTTCCTACACTTCAGACACATGCCCACTCTTGATACATGCACAGAGTCCATGTAACATAGAAAAATAGGGCAGTGAGTGTATATTCTACTTATGCTGCCTCATTCCATCAACCTAGCAAATGAGAGTTACATCTGATTTTCACACCGTGGGTTTAACAGTGATGTTATCTTACTGCTTTTAATACGATCAAACCTCAGAGCAACTAGAAGATGGGTTCCTGTCAGGGACGGATCCCCGTTTAAGGGTGTGGGGGCAATTGCCCCCACTAATTTTTTTTATTTTTTTTAGTATTTTATCCTTATAATTTAGTCATTTTCAGTAATACCCATGAAATATTACATTTGCCCCCACTAAAATTACTAAAAAAATGCACTATTGCCCCTCAAAATTCATTTTTGCCCTCACTTACCTTACATCTTGGCTCCGTCCCTGGTTCCTGGGGACTTCAAATGTTTTATACTGCACATGATTTGGGTATGCCTGGTGCTAGATAATGCCAAGAGGTGATTCTTTCATGGGACTGCCACCGTCAGTCTTAGTTTTTACATTAATGTGTTTTGAGGAGACCAAGGAATTTGCATGGACGATCTCTGTTCCCAAGCAAATGAATTTGACAAACTTGCAATTGCCTAAATCTAACAAAAGAGTTTACCTTCTTTTTCTCCACACCCTTGCGAACTGCAAACAGTCCACTGTTTGAGGAATTTATGCCACTGAATTTAAATACATCTTGCTTCTTAAGCCAGCTTTCTATGATAAATCTTATGCTTTATGTCGAAGTATGATAATACTCTCTCTCAGAGTTTGAATGTGTAGCTCTTTTCTGCTCTCTGTTGCAGGTTCGATCTTGTTGCCTATTTGCAGCAAGTATGGTGGTTTGAAGTAGATGGGGTGGTAAAGTTTCCTTTTCCTGCAGATATCTATACCTTGGCATTCAGGACTCACCTTGGAAGATTTTCCAGAAGGTTGGGACGGCGTGTGTGCAATTTTGAACACACCCATGGCTGGGATATAAAGCCAGTACGTTTTGAGTTTTCAACTTCTGATGGTCAGCAAGCATCAAGTGAGTTCTGCTTAAATGAGACTGAACAAGATGACGCCATCAGTAACCACAAGCGTGGGTGTTGGATAGAGTACAAGGTAGGTGAATTCATTGTCAATGAGTCATACCCTGCTACTGAAGTGAGGTTTTCGATGAAACAGATTGATTGCACCCATTCTAAAGGTGGGCTTTGTGTAGATTGTGTATCTATTATCCCCAGTGAATTGAAAAAGAGCAAAGAATAGGGGTTTTGAAGTGGGTACAAGGGGTAACTTGTTTAGTATTACAAGTATCCCAGAAGGTTTTAGTTGGGGTTTTGGCATACAGCATATACTTGTAAAAGCACTTGATATTGTGGAGGATGTCATCTTATTTGGGATTTGGCAGTAAGTATGTGTCCTCTTAATTGGGTTTTGGCAGTAGGTATGCGTCCTCTTATATCCATGTAATTATTCCTGTTGTGTGTTTAATTCAGTTTCATTTCACATTTATACCTTTGCAGAAAATTAAGAGGGTATGTTTCGATTATCACTTTGCTTTTGTCAGATACTCTCTGTTAAACAATTTGTAATCTAATTGGGATGCAAATGAGGTAAAGTTCTTTCTTAAATCTCATTGAATCCAATGTTATTGCATCCATAAAATCAGATTATGCTTTGATGGCAATGAAACTACTACTCTCCCCATCCCACTTCCCCCTCCTCCTTTCCCCCCTTCCCCCCTCTTCCCCCCTGCTCTCTGAAATTGAATGTTCAAAACCTCCTAATTCCTCTCTTGTTTTCCTGCTTCATTAGTTTGTGAAGTTAATGTCTTGGTAGCATTTTGGGCTATTGGTAGAGTTTCATGTTAAGCAGGACTTAATTATACGGAGGACTTGCAGTTGGGGTAGGTTTTATGTGGCATAAATGCCTACGCCTATCAGGAATGGGAGCACCCTCCTCTCCTCTTCCCCATCTCCTCCCTCTGACCTTTTTTCCTTTCCTATTGGTGGGAACAACCATGCCATTAGATCCCTTGGTTATGGCTGGAATGACAAGCTACGTTGAAGAGAATCCCCAATAACTTAAATCTGCTATAAAAGCAGACTTTGTTGTGTCAATTACCGAGTCAAACGAAAGCAACTCCTTTCCATCTTTGTGCGTGCGTGTATGTGCATGTGTTCAACATCAAATGTTGGTGTATTTCTGAAAACCATATCATTAGTCTCAAGTCCTACCAAGTGATTAGTATCCCTGTTTACCATGACTACTTTTAAACATGAATCCTGCCTATATTTGTAATCTCAATTGGTTTTTACTTCTTAATGACTGAATGATATTGAATTGTTTATAATTATGTAAATTAACTTGCTAGTATAGATTTTTTGGTAGCAGAACTGGTGTTCCCCTTTCTTTTCAAATTGCGACTGATTCTAAAACGCATAACAAAAGGAAAAAATGAACTAAAAAACTTAATTCAAGTCACTGTAAACACTTGTGACCTAATCTACTATTCTCCTTTTTATCAGAGAATATTGGAGTTAATACTCTTTATACCGGGAAGACACAGCAAGCTCATCTTCGACACTCTGGTTCACAGCAGAAGTCTGCTTTTGTAGCTTGCCTAGTTATTAAGAGATTATTTTTAACGTTTCATTTAGTAGTATTTGTGGTAATTTTTTTTTTTTTTTTTTGGAGGATAAAGATCAGTATCTGTGGTATTATTTATATCATATCATGCAGGTTTATAGTCTCTTTAATCTTTCTACTTTCATTTATTAGTATCTATGGCATTAATTATATCACACCTCACAGATTTCTGATTGAGCTTGTATTTCATGCCTTTTCATTAAATACTGGTTGATGAAGAATCTTTAGGGAGCAATGACTCAGCCTAATACTAGTTTTTCACAGGCTATTCAATTATGTCTTGTGGCATATTTAGTGAACTAACTCCACTTTGTCTGGAAAGGGAGTGTATGATGTTTCATTATCAATCCCACTTTATGGAAATTGGATACTTTTTAGCGGGTTCAAATTTATTTAAATGCCAACCTACTTAGGACCACTGGTTGTTTAAGATGATATAGAAATAAGTTTATAGGGCACCCTTTAGCCTTCCGGTTGCCGTTGAAAATCCACAGATTGAGATGGATGTAAAGTTTATGAACTAAAAGGATGGTTCATGACAATTAATATGATTTGTACATTAACTGTATATTAGTGTATTACATTTTAATGTGGACCTGTTCTTATAGGATTGGTTTCTTTTTCCATAACTCGACTGTCTTATCGTGCTTTTTTTCCCCCCTCTCAAAACAGCCTTTTGAAAGAAGGTAGCAGGGTACTATTAGATAGTTAAAGTCAATCCCATGGTAACAAATAGATGGTCCAAGATTGCCTCTAAATAGGTGGTTCAATTATGTCACTTTTCGTATGTTCTATAATAGGTTTGATGGTGAGACTATTGTGTTAAGTATTGTGTTAGTGCTCTTTTATATTTTATCTCACTTGTCATGAAACAGTAAGATTGGCTTTCGTTCTATGATGTTAGTCCTATGATTCCTATCCATAATACTTTCAAGTGGGAATAAATCAACAGTTTTAGCCTCTGATCAGTCATTTAGAAGTGTGATTGGTGCTAATGATGAGCATGTATATACTGAAAAGACGGCTAATTCTACATAATCTTCAATGCTCCCTGTCCGAGTTATTGTATTCTCAATTTTACCCTCATTGTCATGTTTAATTTTTAAGATTGCAGGCTGTGCCCTCGACTTTCTAGCCTTTCGATTGCTGGCATCCTTAATAACCAGTTTGATAAGGAGGAAAAGTGGAAGGAAGATAGGGAAGAAAAGAAAGGAAGAACAACAACATACGTGGAGCTAGATGAAGGTCAATTCCATAGTGTGTTAATTATGAACATCAGAAGAATAATGTAATTTTGAGCTTTAATGTTTGATCACTGCCTTATAGAAAATGATTGTGTGCTAGAAAATAGTCCTTCAGAACTACATAAATATGGCGCCATACCGATTAGGGAAATTTACCACTCCTCTCTCCTCAAGATGACTTGGAAATGAATTACCCATTTCTAACAAGGATTCATTTAGCTGCTGTCATTTGTGATGTGACAATGAACAACATCAAAGTACTCTATCGTCGTACCTTTAACTCAAGTGGTATCTCTTTCTTCTCCCAATCGAATGTTGAGGTTTCAGGTAGGGGTAGTAGCGAGGCGTGTGCAAGTAATTAGTGAAATAAATAAATAAATAAAATCATAAGTGGAGCTAGATGAAGACCAATTCCATTGTTCAGGAAAGATGTCTCTTATCACCCAGACTCTGGATTATTATGAGCCCCTGAGGGTGCCATAATCATACCAGAAAAAAAAAGGTTTCCCTCCTTTTATTGATTCCCTTTGATGTGCTTCAAAAGAGGTTTCCCATCTATGTAATTTTCAGCAGCTTCCTCTAATTCCAAGAACAGTTAGCTAGGGTTCCAAAAGCCCAGGAAAATCTACCTTCTATCATAATAAACTAGTTCTCACCCACTCACCCAACTGGAGTTTCCTCAGAATTTGAATAGATGTCATATCAGCTTTGCCATTTCTGACTTGTTCTGTTCACAGTTCCATCTCCCTTTTTGGTCTTGGATCAACTCTCCAAAGCTTGAAGTCAGTATCTACTTTAGGCAGTAATATATAATATAGACTGGTCAAAACCTTATCCAAAATCTTGCTTGTCTCCTTTATTTTATCAGTAAGAGAATTGCAGTCCTCTTCATATGTTAGTGAAAATAAGGGAAACACCTAGGAACCAAACAACAGATTCACAACTTAATTGATTTCTCTACATCTTCATTCACCTCAACTTTAAATACATTTTCTTACTCTGATAAGCCCTAAGGTCCTGCACATTATGAACATAAGCAATTCGTATGAAAAACAGAGGTGCACGATCTCGTTCTTTTCACATCTCCAATGGAACTTGAATTTGTTCGAGGTTTGAAACCTCTTCCTGACTGGCTTAGAAAGGACATCTATTATGATGACAAATAGTTAAGGGAGATATCGAGTCGACTTGCCTTGTTAAACCTGTAGTAATGCAAGGTTAGTTCACAGTAACAGATGAGATGATGTTTGTAATGCAAGATTTGTTCCACTGCCTCGTATCAGGAGGAATCAAAGGGATACTGACAATATTCATACAAAAAAGGCCAAATGAACATGGTTATAAGGTTCCTTGGGATCCATTTCAATAGTACATTTGGGCAGCAAGAACTGTACATGAACATGGTTTTAACAATCCCTGAGCAAGAAAAATGTACAATGGTTTCTTTACCCTCTTTGTTTTTTTATTATTATTTCCAATTCTGTAATTTTCACTTACTTACCGAAAATAAAAATAAAAATAAAAATGTACAATGTCCCCATTCTTCTTCCCCGAGTGAAAAGACACTGATCATTATTAATGACCTTAGGTAGAATTTCCTTAATCACATCAAATAAGTTTTGTAGTACATTTGTAGATAGCGTTGCAAATGAGTCATGCCTAACTTATCTAACCACCATTCCAATTCTAGCAGCCATGACATTTCCACCCATAATAGGTTATTTGTTACTAACTGATACGATAGAAACACCTTAAAGTTGAGAGATGAGAGTTGTTACTAACTAATGTGACAATCATTGATAGAAACATCTTAAAGCGGAGAGATCGAGATCGTATCTCATTTATCATTGACTAACTTGTTGAACTCTACCTATTAGGATAGCTCAAAAACCATTGGGAATTGGGGCATTACTCAAATATATATATATATACACACACACATACATATATATATATATATATATATATGTATGTGTGTGTATATGTATATATCAGTTATTTTCTTTAGCTTACTCTTAGTTTGTTTTTATGTGGTGAGACTCTCCCATTTGAATTCTGAAAAAGTTACTGATCGTCTCTCTTATTTTTTATTTTTTTTTGGCCTACTCTGTACATCTTCTTCATATTCCTTTATATACCGTTGGCATCAAAATTTCCCAAAAAAATCCATGGTTGAACTGAAATGTAAACAAAGTAATAGAATATATTATTTCACAAAAGTGCTCTGTCCTTGGCATGCATCATTGGATCCATAAACAAACGAGGCCATAAAATTTTATTCTTCAATACCTGATTACTAATCATGTAACAATGGAAAACTTGTCAGATTTAGAAAATTTCTTAGTACACTAGAAGACTCTATATATATATATGTATATATAGAAGAATAATGTACACACAGAGTCACACACATGTGAATATACAGTAGGTGAGGCAATCTCTACTGGCTATCATTAACCCAAGGGCTATCAATATCCCAACGGACTTAATAGCTGTCACTCTCAGACTGAGCCATTCATTCAATACAATTCAGACATATAGATACACACATGTATATATCTATATGTTTGTGTGTGTGGGGAGAGACTAGAGAGAGTGCAGCTTTTACCACTGCAAGTAAATTAATTAGGTGGGGGAAAAAGAATAGGATGGGTGAGTCCTTTGTTCATCTTCTTCTTCTTTTTTGCTTGTTTAATTTTTGTCATTTACTAGTACTCTCCTGCAAGAGGTGGCAGTATATGGGTACTCTACTCATTGTATGTTGCCACCTTAAGAATTAAGCCCACATCGCTTCCTATGTTCTTCTCTTGGCCTCATCTAATCTAGAGAGAGAAACAAGAGAGAGAGAGAGAGGAATCAGTTGTACTAAGGTCTAAGGGGGAAGCAGTGATGAAGAACTAGGCGTGAGAAAGGGAAGGCATATTGTCAGTTGTATTGAGGCAGGTTTAAGGGGACCAGATGGCGACCTTTGAGTACCATTTCAATCCTCTCCACCCAACCGACAACACAACATGCCTCTCTCTCTCTCTCCCTCTCTCTCTCTCTACATATATCACCATCTCTCTCACACACACACATTCATTAGTTGCCCCCAAAATGAAGTAGAGAACCCTACAATTCCCTTTTCAATTTCGCTTTCTTGCACCCTAAAACGGAAATAGAATGTAAACTTACTACTCAAGCACCCTCTCTCTCTCTCTCTCTCTCTCTCTAGTACTCTATCCTTCATTAGTTGCAGCCTTAAGTGAGGTAAAGAACTTTACAACTCTCTATCTCTCTCTCTGTGGTCCCATTCCCATTACTTGAAGAAGACCAGGACTCATATATATCAGAACTAGGTTTTGGGGTTGGATCCAAGTGAACAGATATAGGAAAAGACTAGGCAAAACAAAATGGAATGGAATGGCAACCTAAGAGTACCCTTTGTTTCTCGACCAGAGAATCCCTTTACCAGCTTCCTTTGCAACTACAATGATAACCATTATCCAGGTAAACCCTAATTTCTCTCTCTCTTTTTACTATTTCTTTCTTAATTTCAACATATGTGTTTCCAATCAACTTCAACGAAGAATGACATGTAGTTCACTACTAAATCACTTTCTTCCTCTTACACTTGCTATATTCTTGTATTTTCCATGCTAAAAAAGTGTTGATATCTTCTTGTAGTGGCCGGAGCCTCATGCACTGGGCTAGTCTTATATATATATATATATATAGATGTCAATAAGTAGTTGTTCTTTCTTGAACTAAGTAGCTAGTGAACTTCTTGCAATTCACGATATGCAGATATAGAGATTAAGTATCCGGTGGTGGCGCAGCACGCATCACAGACGGTGGATGTTCCAGCAGTGGGCAAGAATGACTATGGCAATCTAGAGAAGAAGAAGCGATTGACAAGTGATCAGTTGGAGGCACTGGAGTGTAGTTTCCAGGAGGAGATAAAGCTGGACCCTGATAGGAAGATGAAGCTGTCACAGGAGCTCGGGTTGCAGCCTCGGCAAGTAGCTGTTTGGTTCCAAAATAGGAGGGCTAGGTGGAAGACCAAGCAACTTGAGCGTTTATATGACACCCTCAAACAGGAATTTGATGTTGTTAATAGAGACAGGCAAAAGCTTCAAGAAGAGGTTAGAAAAAACTGCAAAACTCTCTCTTTTCATTAATTTCTCCTCTCAATAATATTTCACACACTCTGTGCTAAAATAACACCTTTTCACTCCTCTATAACAGTCTAAAAACTTTTAAATTAAAGTAATAACTTGACATGTTTTTAGAGACTTAAAGGTCTTGAAAGCTTTTGGATTACCTCCATTTCTCAAAACAAAAAGGGTAGAGAGACTTGTTCAAGATTTTACTTTGAATGTTTTAAAAGTATACATTCAGATGTCTCTTTTAACCTTTGGCCCAAATAGCATTGCCTGAAAAAAAAAAGGGGGGTTAGATGAACTAAATACTGTGAACAAGTTAAATATATCATGAACTTCGAAAAGATTTATTAAATGAATCAATCTTTATACATGCACTTGATACTAGCTAGATTTCTAACTTAAGTTGTTTATGAGTGAGAAGGTTTTGGCTTTGAAAGCTATGCTGAATGAGCAAGCCAAGAAGCAAGTTTCTACATGTTACACAGAAATCTCCGGTGAAGAGACAGTGGAAAGCACGGCGGTTGTTGCTAATCGGAGCTCTCACAAGCCACAGGGAACAACAAGTCAGCATCAGATCACAGACTCCAACTATGTTTTCAGCTTCGATGACTATAGTCCGGTGATGCCGCCGCCTTACTGGGGTGCTCTGCCTTCTTATCCTTGAAAGGGCTGGCTAAGTTGTTTACTACTACTCTTTAGTTAAAAACTAGTAAAGGTTTGTAAGATTGATGGAAGTACCTTGGTTTTCTACTTCTAGCCAGCACAGAGGGTTGGAGCTTGAGATTACACTCGAAACAAGCTTCCAACAGCATGGCCTTTTTAGGACAGTTTATTTGTCTTCCTGAAGAGGCTATCAATCATCATCATTATTATTATCATTATCAGTATCATTATCATCATCATGTTCACACACTTCACACATATCCATGCTCAGTACCCTTTTACAAGGGTGCTTTTACAGTGAATGATAAAAGTGTTGGTTATTTTTCAGTTCTGGAATGAAGAGGATGTAATGGTTGTGTTTCTTAGATAACTTAAAATCTGAATTTATAGCCTTGTTTGGTTCAAATTCATTATTCCAAAAATAATAATAATAATAATAAGATATATAAATAAATAGAATTAGTAAGGAAGAAGTTGATAGTTACTAATAAGCTCTGGCAGAAATGGTATAATTAAGAGGTTGGTGTTGGAGTTCAGGTGAAATCAAAATATGGGTGTGTGTTCTCTACCATTCAAGAAAGAAAGAGAAAAAATAAATAAAAATTCAATAAAGAGATAATCAGTAGAAAATGATATTTTGTGCGACTAGAGAGAAAAAAAAAAGTTGGAAAGAATAAGATGAGGGTTGTAAAAGTAATAAAATGAATCATGCGACTAAGAATAAGTTTCATTTGACTTGTCAATTCAATTACAAATAAATAGTTGGCATACTTGTACTTAAAATTTTGAATGTGCTTTGATTAATACTCTTAAAGAGTTCTCAAACATCATGATTCATGACAAAAGTCATGAACGTTGGGACAGTTTTTTTAAAATCATTTAATAAAATGTTAAATTTATTGATTAAATATGAAAAGTGAGTCGAACTGTCACGAGAGGTCTCTTGAGATTTTTTTTTTTAAAAAAAAAAATGTATATATAGACTATCCTCTTAAAACCGCTGAATCACAACCCCATTGAAATTCAGTTTAGCCGTATCATTCATTAAGAAGGCTTTCCAAGTCCAACACCATAGAGAGCGATCAATCACTGCCATTCGTCCATTTTCCCTAATATTGATGAGACAGTTTCGGCTGTATATTTACCATTTACTACTCTTTACCGACATTCCATTTACTACTGTGGACGCTCACTATTTACTACTCACTATTATGACTCCAAAATAGGATCAACAGTTGAAATCATATGACCCACTCCACAGTGACACCCAAATGATTCTTCATGAAAGAGCAATGTTACAATTGGACTATTAACAACGATTGTTTCCAAAAATAGCAGTATGTACAAAGACTTATAATATTGGATGGTTAAAAACAGGAGAGAACAGGAGAGATTTCTCTAGGAAAATGTAAGCAAGCTCAACCGCAGAATCACAATAATGACAAGATCAATGGCAGATGCCGAAACCCATTACCGTAAACACAGAAAGAGGATCCATTGATTCCCAAAAACATAAGATTGTTCCAGTATCTTCCGCTACGTTGCTGGTCAATTCGAGAAGTCGTGGGATTGGTGGAAATTTTAGGTTTAAGCAGCAAGGTCGTGAAACCAAAGCGTTGTTTGATTGCTGTATGTTAATGGTGGGGTTACGAGGCAGATACCATGTGAAGATGGCAAACCCGCTGGTATTAGATATGGTAGTGTAGTTCCCTGTTTTCGGTTAAGAGTTCAAACAGAAGAAAGAGAAGGAAATATCATGCAGCAGTTGTACCTCGTAACAATATCACAACCAATGAGAAAATTAACATTCTTCAAAAGGTAAAACCAATGAAAAAATTAACAGCAGAAATATAATAGGTATTAAAGACATTGAAGAAATAATGAAACAAACAGTTCACCCCTAATTGCATGATCACTGAACATGCAATACTACTCGTCATTAATAATAAGTATTCCAAGTAAAAGTTGAAATCCATTTGAGAACTAGAAATTGCTCATGTTCAACACCGAATGCCAAAAAAGAAAGAGGACAATTACATTAGTCAATCCTCATAAAGCCTTCAATATCCTGCCTATTACTCTAAGTCTCACAAGGAATCGATAACAGACCAGTATCTCAACGCTTCCCACCACCACCTCCAAGTTTAGGACCCTTTGGTGCAGCGCCCTTGGTCATGCTGCTACCCTTTGTCTTCGTCTTTGACATTACTTCTGCTTTCTTTGCTTTCTTTTCATCTTTTGTTTTCTTAATCCTTTCTTTAATTTCACTGCACAAATAAGATGGATGCCATCAGTGGGTGTAAAAAAATCCCTATATTTCCAGAAATTAAAAGAAAAAGAAAACAAACAAAAAAATAATAATAATTGAAAAGGAAAAAAGAGTGGAATTAATTTGACATTCCACAACCCATAAAATGGAGTGGAACTGCAATACATGGCGATATAAGGAAATGTGCAATAAAATGGTGTTAAGCAGAGATTGGTATGAACATGACTAGAGACCATAAAATGTTAAACATTTACAAAAAAAAAACACACACACCGGAGAGCAGCCTCCCTGGCAGCATCTCGAACCTCTGGCTTTTCAGTTCTCTTCTTCTGGATAACCTCCAAAGTGGCACCCACAATGGACCTAGAATAAGGCTTCTTAGTGGCACGTCGCCTCTTCTTTACAGCCTCTTGGGCAATATCCTGTGAGAGTCAGAACAATTCCAGAAAACAAATTTGAATGTGGATACAACATCGTACTTAGACACAAGAAGCACCATCTAGTAGCTTTTTGAGATTAAAAAAAAAAAAAAGGAAAGAAAAAAAAAAAAAACGAAGATGATTTTGAACTATCCAATTCTCCTGATCTTTCTGACCCAAAAAATAGGTCAATGAAGATAAAGAATGCCCTGATCTTTTAACCTTGTTATGCAATATATTTATTAGAGGAGCATAACCACTGCAAATACAGCAGAAACATGTTTAAATTGCTCGATATACTGCCATTTGAGATTCTACGAAGTAAAAAAAAGCAGGATCTGCAATGTTGAATCACTAACCTTCTTATGCTGCTTCCTATACATCGCTGTCCAAGTGAGTTTTGAAGGCTTCAATCTGTTGTGGAAGTACCTTTTGCATTTTGAATTCGCAAATAAGAACACCTACATGAGCAAAAAGTAAATATATATGTATACATATTCTGGATCAATAGAGGACTGGAGAAACCAACCTCCCTCTACTCCCATTTATACACAGAGAGAGAGAGAGAGAGAGCACATGCAATATAACAAATTAGTAAGGCATAATCTGAGACTGAAATTTAATAAGACAAGTTTGGAAGTTACTTGAGAATCCGAACGAACAAATCTGATGCCCTTCCCGGGATATATTTTGGCCCCGCTGAAGCGACAAAGTTCAGTCCTAAAATACACCAATAAATATTAGTTTCTAAGATACGAAATTTCAAATGCAGCTGTATATCATTATTATGATAAACTTTAATAAGAGCAAATCAAATAATGAGCAAGTAACAGAGCACAGCTGCAAAAGGAACACCACAACACAGTTCTACGTAAACCCCAAAACCTGCATATCTATCTTTTGCTCGCCATCAATCTTGTAACTAATTCGAAAACCTGGGAATTTCACACTTTTTCCTTCATTAAATTAAGTTACTCAAGAAACATGGTAACCACCATCCGAATTCTGATTGCATTAAAAATTGGCACTTATACGTCAATAAAATAAAATTCTAACATTCATAGTCATGTTAGATGGCAGCAAAACAATAATGATGAACCCGTAACATAAGCTCCCAAAATTCGTAAGTAACAGAGCACATATGTAAATGGAAGACCAATTGACCACAACACAGCTTTACGTAATCCCCAAAAGCCTGCACATCTTTCTTTTGCTCACCATCAGTATTGTAACTAATTCCAAAACCCGGGAATTTCACACTTTTTTCTTCACTAAATTATGCCACTCAAGAAACATGGTAACCACCATCCGAATTCTGATTGCATTAAAAATCAGCACTCATACGTCAACAAATTCAAATTCAAATATTCATAATCGTGTTAGATGGCAGCAAATCAATAATGATGAAACCATAACATAAGCTCCAAATATTAGCAAGTAACAGAGCACATAAGCAAAAGGAAGACCAATTGACCACAACACAGTTCCATGTAATCCCCAAAAACCTGCACATCTTTCTTTTGCTCACCATCAATATTGTAACTAGTTCCAAAACCTGGGAATTTCACACTTTTTTCTTCATTAAATTATGCTACTCAAGAAACATGGTAACCCCATCCAAATTCTGATTGCATTCAAAATTGGCAATCACAAGCGAACAAAATCAAATTCAAATGTTCATAATTTTGTTAGATGGGCAGCAAATCAATTATGACGAAACAGTAACATAAACTCCCAAAATTAAAACCCACCAAGAGTGAACAATATGGAATGAACCCATACAGATTTAACTTTCGCTGAGAACAACAACAAAAAGGAAGGGAAATTTCGTCAATTTAGGCATTTTTTTTTTTTTTTTTCTTTTCTAGTGTATATTGATCTGTTGCCTAGTTGATTTTGAATTTCCAGAAATTCTTTCATTATATTTGGAACAATTTAGTTGATTAGATTCCATGGTCAACAATGGGTCACATATAAATGGGCCAACACTAAAATTTATATTTCATCATAACGATAGAAAAGCTTGTTAACTTACAATAATGATCATAAATATACATGTGTGCTTCACTATTTTTTAGTTATAATAGCTAATCATTCATTTCTTTAAGCTTATATCTGACTAAACCATCAAGCATGAGACACACATACAAGGGTTTGCCCCGTCATCTCACTGTAAATTAATTATCACTCACAAAGATAACCAAATTATTATAGCCTCAAACATATAAAATCATTCATCTCGCTAAGCAAATGTAAGATTTTACGCGGAACAAAAGCAAAAGATTTTGATAGATCGTAACACAATCAAATCAAACAGCACGATATATATACATGCATATATATATATATACACGTTTATAGAGATAGAGAGAAATAGACCTACTTGAGAACCATGATTATTTCTGTGAGCTGATTTTGGAGACGAGCCCTCTTCGTTTGACAAAAAAACAGATATGAAACCCTAGTCACAACCCATATGTAAACTCGGAGGTCAATGAAATGGCCCCTTTTCAACCATAAAACTACGATAATACCACCGCGAAATGCACATGAATTCTTTTATGTAGGCCTGAAGGCCCAAGCCCGGATGAGATGGGCCTACAAATGGCCAAACCCATCAGGCCCGGCTAGGTTAGATAACTGGTAGTAAGAGAATTTTAAGGTTTTTTTTTTCAATTTTTTATTTTTTATTTTTTTATAAGTGAGTTCGGTTAATTTGGATAACTATTATAATTTTAGGGATTTGTTTCTATATAGTGTCCCAATGTAACAAGGGTCATTTGTCCCACATCGAATTCGGATGGAAAATGATTGGGTATAAATGGGTGGGCATGCACCACTACCCAACAACTTAAGTTTTTGAGTAAATAGGCAAGCACCCACCTGTTACAGTTGGTATTAGAGTCAGATTAACAACTTAAGTTTTTGAGTAAATAGGCAAGCACCCACCTGTTACAGTTGATATTAGAGTCAGATTCAGTCCTTGATTCGGTATCACGTCAAGTGCCCGGTTTGAATGGCGCCCGAGTAAGCACAGGGTGACCCGCGTTGCGAGTGGAAAATAATTAGGTATAAATAGGTGGGTATGCAGTACTATCTAACATTTTAAGTTTTTGAATAAATGGACAGACGTCTAGTAAATACAAATCCCTAAACAGTAACATTTTTTTTTTTTTTTTTTCTCTTTTTATTTTTTTTTTCCCTACAACACCTGATAAGAAAGCCTGGTTCTTCCATGTTTTTTTCCCTTCCTCGTCGCCTAACAAACAATGGCCAGAAGAAGGTGCTTTTCTCTTTTAAATGGAGAAACTTTGAACACATGTATTGCGTTTGGGCAAAAATGTCAATTTCAAAACTAATGTCTTAAAATTGAAATTAAAGAAAAATTAATTGAAATTCATCAATTCCATATTTCGATGCCTATGAAGTAAGAATCGTTGATACAAAGAATTGTGGATACAAAGTCCATCCAGTAATTATCATACAGGGAAAAAAAATTAAAAAATTACTTTGAACAATTATCAATTTTAAGACAACATAAAGAAAAAACTTTACAATTAACAATATTGTGACACGGGACAAATTATTATTAGACAGTTTTAATTCATTTCATATTTGGTAGGCTAATTTAATAAAAGCTAATATTAATATTTTTTTGTAATATATTAATATACTCTTATAGGGTCATTTTATTTAATTATTTTATTCTGACAAATTAGAAGGAGTGGGGACTCGAATATGGGCATATCCTCTCAAATGAAATAAATGCTCTACCAATTAGATTATTGGGTAATGCTCGGCTATTTTCTCTATTCAAAAATTTGAATTTAAGTGATCTATCAAGTGTCAATCATCCAACACCATCCATCTAATAATTTCGCATGATAAGAATGAAGAAATAAAGGGTGTGAAATGATGACTCCACAAACTCTCGTCTCTTCCTTGCGGCAATGCCCACCATTGTAGCAGTCTCATAAATTCTCTCTCTTCTAGGAAATGGCAGATTTGTTTTTTTATTCATAATAAATAAATAAAAGGTGGGCAATTTGGATGCTATTTTTATTTACTTTTTTACCGCCGGCGCCCGCCCGGGGGGGGGGTGGAGGAATAGTGCATTGAAATAGTGGAGTGGAATGTAGTTTAAAGTGCCACTCTAAATTGAGCTCAACTAGAAAATGTACGGTTTTGGACAATATTATTTGACGGTCAAACTTAAACTAAAATGATAAACTCAAATTTATTTTGGTGTGGGTATAGATTCTTATTTGAGTAATTCGAAGTCCAATCTATATATTCATGTATATATTTAAGGATAAATTACAAGGATTTTTCCTATGATTTGTCCTAGTTATAAGGATCTCTCCTATAATTTTAAAAATTACGAGGACCTTTCCTGAAAATAAAACTAACATACATAAACCTTTCTTCTGTGACGTCAACAAGAATTAATGACAGATTTTACTAATGTCATATACTGAATAAATTAAAATTCTTATATTACCCCGTCAGTCCACAACCATCCAACTCTTTAATTTCTATCTAGACCTACTTTCTCTTTCTATACTAATTCTTCGTGACCTGGATCATGTTCTTGCAGCTCATTGGTTTGTTTACGATGCACAATATATGAAGAACAAAGTTACAGCATGAGCAAGCTTCACCATCATCAACCTTCTCCACAGCATAAGCTTTACCTTCAACCATCTCCAACTCATCTAAACAACCTCAAACCCCCATCACTGACAAATCCAATCCCAAGCCACCTAAAACCACCCTTCCACCAGTCAAACTCACCCCTACCATATCAGAGGAAAACATCTACAAAAAAACCCCAAGGCTCACTCAACCAACCTCCAAACAAAGGTCTACCATCCCCCCATATCATCTTCACTCTCAGGCAAACCACATGTCCACTTCCCTTCACCAACCACAAGCTTAATCCGGTTACAAAATAATGCCACCACAACCACTAACAATTTCCACAAACCACAAACTAAGTCACAAAGTAAAACTGAATCCACAACTGTGATACCTCTCGGATCCGAGACACGGGTTGATCAAGTCCGACCCGAGTCCGAGGGATATCAAACAATTAATATTTTAAAACGAACACGGAATACAAAAATGATTAGAGAGATAAAATTTAAGCTGAAAGAAACTAAAATAAATTCTCAAATATAAATATTTAAACCTTGACAATCCAAACTCCACAAGTTTAACAACTCGGGAATCCATCTCTAGTGGACCCCTATTAAAATCCCAAACTGCATGGAAGAAAACTGAAGATAAAATCCAAATCCAATATCTGGAAAGAAGTCCTACGTTGTCGGTAGAATAGAAGTCTGTATCTGCTCTGCACGATCAAACTCTAACCCTGGAACTGACGAGTACCTGAAAAATATAAGGGTGGGTCAGGCCCACATGCAAGTCCTGATCTACTACAATCCAAACAGGAATCCGATACGCAGATACATACTAGAAAGACTCAACAATATCTAGAGTAGTCCATATATGTATAAGTACACACTATAGGACGCTTACTAGTCCAAAAAGGTTTGTCTCAGCCTGAATAGAGATACCATGCAAATCGCACATACCGTGGTCATGTGTATCTAGACCTACCAGGGAACAACACTTCTGTCCAGCTATCCATCCTAGGCAATATACACACCCTAACCATGGTCCTGAGACTCAAGCTCATACCATGGCACATATAATAAATATATAAAGTCCGTGTCCTCCTATTACAAAATATCAACCATCTGAAAAGTGGTTTGATAAATGTAAAGCAAATCCATCCTGAAACCATATTAAGTCATTCAATTATTTGATTGATATGACACAAGTAGGGGATGGACTTAACTCATAGGGTTAATCCATACCTTAATCCAAATTAGGTAGGACTTAGTGTTTGTACTAATCCATACCTAGTATGCCACCGTCCCATACCGGTGCATACAATCCTCCAGTTCCATAGTTAATAACACAGCATAAACATGTATCAACTAATTTCCAAAAGAAACATAAATATAGTTTAACATATTTACAATCAATTTATGCATCCAATATACCATTTAAATATCACATTACAGTGCTTTATATATATATGAAAAGACTGTACATGTAGTTCCTCTAGTTAATATAGTTGACGGAACAGTAATAAATACCAATCCACCATACTTCAAGATTTGCATATAAACAGTTTAACATGTGTACAACACATTAATCATCCTACATAAGGTTTAGAAATCCCTTTCCAGTCCCATTTTATTAAGTAAGACTGAAACCTACCACTCCTCCTGCACAACCATATCTGATGCAATAGTTGATAAATTTAAAACATCCATTAATTCCATTTAAGCATACTTAATCTCCTAGATAGATAAACATATGCTTATAACATAGTTGAACATGCTTGATAAATTTAAACATGCAAAAGAACCCAAAATTTTGCTCAAAGCAGTAAACAGTTTACAAAGATTTCAAAGACAACTTCACATATGCAGTTTCTTCGTTTAACCTTAGGTTGCTTCAAGGTTCAACACAATACCATTAACAATACTTCCAACCATTTTTACATCTCTGGAACTATTATACAACCCAATTTTACCCACTGAAACAACCCAGTCATCTTCCCATAGGTCCAGAAACAACCCAAAATCGCGTAGAAGCAAGAAAAGAAGCTGGAGCCGCCTCCAGAATATTGGAGCCGCCTCCCTTCTTGGTGGAGCCGGCTCCTCCCTTATTGGAGCTGGCTCTACCCTTGTGGAGCCGGCTCCAATCCCTTGTGGAGCCGGCTCTCACACCCCCTAGAGCCGGCTCCCTCCTTTGGTGAGCCGGCTCTCCTCCTTTGAGAGCCGTAATTCTTTTTCTGGTTGTCTTCCTCGCCTCCGGCTAAGTTCAAAACCTATTTCGTATTTTAAAACCTTGTTCCAGTGTTTATACACTATCCTAGATTATATGAGAAACATCCGAACATGCATCAATAATCCCAATTAACCAAGCTTGAACCCAAGACACAGCATGCATCAGTTCACAGTTCTTTAAAAATTTGCACAGTTTGATTCACGAGATTTATTTCCGTTTGAACATGCATACAAGATAAATTTAATCATTAATCTGTTTTTAATCTTGGTTTAATCCTTAGAGTCTTTCTAAGCCTGTACAGAACACAGATTAAAGAGATAGAGTGGAAACAGAACTTGCCTTCAGTTTCACACTGTGGAACTGCAGACCTCTGTCAACTCTGGCAACGATGGTTGTCTTAACTCCCTCTGCTGCTCCTAATTCAATCCCCAACATTCTCCTTGAATTCTTCCTTCAATCCCCAAAGGTTCTCTCTGAAACTCTCTACAACTCTCTGTTTTTCCTTCTCTGAAAACCTGATACGTGAATGCAGGTTGTGTGATGTTTGTTTGCTAAACCCTAAACCCACATGAAGAAATATATTTATAGGCTTAATTCTCCAACCCTAATCCGTATATAG